GATCCCAAAGTTATTACTACAGTGACAACGAGAGAGAACCTCTTATATCTACAACAAGGCAAGAGAACTCACAGAAAAATATTATCATGATATCATTTTATTAAGAATTAACGTCACATCTCAACAAGGGATCGCTCTCCAACACCTTGTACTTTGAATATAGCTATTAACTGCCTGAATATTATATAAATAGGCAATTATATAATAGAATAAGCAAAATTAACTAAACAATAGCTTATTAAATAGGAATATTTTGTTTCGAGCCTGCAAGTACTGAAAAAAACAAGAAATAGCACTTTTGCTATTAATATTGAGGGATGACCGAGATCGTTAGGAATTGAAATTGCTAAGCAAGTACGCGTGTTTTTCGTTCGTTTTCATATTAAAACATGAAAGGAGCAAGATACTATTGAAAAAAATTTCTTCGGCTTGAAGTCCTTAAGGTCTTCTGGTTCACCGAAACTTCAAAACGTCCATAAAATTGAAAAAGAGACTTTTTATGCTAACTTGGTGCTAATAAGCTATTTTCAATGATCAATGGCATATGTGAAACCCCTAGATACTAAAAGTATTTCAACACTTTCATTTCTGGGCTGTTCTACAGTCTGAATTTTGAGGCATATGCACTTTTGTTTGATAAATTTGGTTCGAAAGTGGCATTTAAAGCATTTACTTTTATCTTTTAGAAGATAGAAAGACAGTCGGTGACATTGTATGCAATACTTTATACATCTATTAAAAGAGCCTGTCTATAGTATGAAATGTGTTCTTTTTTTTTAACGAGCTCTATTATCTCTGTTTGAAAAGCGTAATGGATCATATTCATAATTTAGCGTAAAATTCATAATAGGTCGAAAATGAAAGAAAAAGAGACCTTCCTCAGTCTAGAACTTATAATAGGCAGTAAAAAGTTCTCGAAAATAAATGGTCAAAAATCAAAGAGTGAGTGCGTTACTTTAATATTTATCAAATAACTCTTCACCGATATAGCAGATCTCGAAACTATTTTGCTACATGGAAAGTCTTAACTGTCCTCTATAAAATGTGCTGTAGCAATCATATTTACAATTGAAGAATTCGCAGAAATTTCAGAAGTTCTAACATCGCCCTCAAAAGAAGGGGTCTTTTTTGTGAGTGCGTTATTTGCATGTATTTTTAATATAAAAACGACAGTCCAAAGTCAATTAGCACGAAACTTATACATGTTACAGTGCATCATAACATACATATATTCTCAAAGTTTCAAGGCTCTAAGCTTTGATGCTGCTAAAAAAATTCGCTCAAAAGTTGGCAAAGCGTGAGTGCGTTACTAACGGACAAGCTCCTAAGATTATTTCATAAAACGTAGATGCAATACAATGGATAGATATGTATACCTCTAAAAAGATTCTATTAGTCTTAGTTTATGTATTAAATCTATTGTCCCCATGCAGGCATATTAAAAGTAATATTCTAAAATTGTTCGCGATTTGTTATCAACATGCCCATTTATGTGTGAACTTGCGCTTACTACCTACAAAAAAAATTGATTGTGAAGCAGTTACGCTCATTATGATATTTTTGCCAAATTAATTTGGAACACTACTTTTTCAATTAACAGATTTTATTACCGCTCATTACAAAAATAGTACGGCAAAAAGATTAATTATATATTTTGATAGTGCTTGACAGTCTCTAGGATTCTGCATACTTGAATAATAACTCTATCACACTGAAGATATCTGCACTCGGTAAGAAATGCTATCAAGTATATTTTTTCCTAGTAGCAAGTTATAGTTATTACAAGAATAATGTTTTTATTCATACAACCATAATTCATAGTAGTATTAGCAATACTGTATCATTCTTGATCTGCCTGTTGTTGAAATTTGTTTGAAAGTTAAGTAGAGAGAATACTGTCAAAATTCAAATATTGAAAATTGAATAGTCAGGAGTGCTTTTATTGTAATTCATATATTTTTCAGCAAGTAAGTACAATTTAAAATATAATTAAAGGCAATGATGTTAAACTGCAAGCGATTTCATGCTAAATTATTCTTTTTCTTTAATTTATTTCTATAATGACTAATACTAAAAGTAGTTTCGCTAGGGCAATTTTTCACACGAATCTATATTACTAAAATATTTGACTCCAATAAGTGATACTAGTACTGTTCACTAAAAACAGATTTTACCGAAAAAATAATTGTGACTAAATAGTCATATTCCAAAATGCGAGTCTAAAATTTCTTTATTTAATCCATACGATACAAAAGTAAATAGTAGAAATTCAACTCTTTAAGATGAAATAGATATATTTAGTAGACTATTCACATGTATCACAAGAAGAACAGCAAGAATTGATTAATATTGTTTTCGATTTGAATGATTTTCTTTCTGTGGAATTAAAAGTGAGAAAATGAAGTTTTGATTTTGTCTTTTCTTTTCGGTCACAATCCGTATTCCAACAAGATCGTTTTGAAAATGATCAAAATTTTCATTTGATTTGAATGTCGTTAAGTTTTAAAGGAAGCTATTTTTTGACTAGTGAGTCCAAAAAGAATTTAAAACCATGCCCATTGTTTTGTTGACAAAACATCGAACTTGATACTACCGATGCTGATTATGTCGTTAGTTCATGTCATTGCCAACCCTATATCTGCCAACAACATGTCTAGCGAAGAATGATACACAATATTCATATAATACATAATCGTCTGCTTGAAGAAATATTCTTCGGCTTCGGGCTAATAAGAAAAATTACACAACTAATAGAACATGTAAGTAGAAAAACAAAATACAATGAATATGAACCAGATCATCATACATTTTTCATTAAAACTCTTAATATATTTTTAGCGGATAAATGCACGATCAAATATAAGCATAAGGAAATGATAGAAAACGTTAAGTTTTTTAAGACTTCATAAATATTTTCTTTAATATAGCATGAGAATTGCGAGAATATATTATAAAAAATGTGGAAACTTCGAATTTCATCCGAGAGTTATGTGTACTGCAAAAAGTTCATGGGACATATGAGTCATTCTAGAATGTCTGAACACGAAAATTATCATGAGAAACTAGGCAATTTGATTTCTGGATGCAGCTTTTGTGCATTTTGAGACGTTTTTCAGGCGATGTTTCGTTAGAAAGCTACGGTTCAGTTCAAAACTAATATCAGATTCAGAATCAGCGTTAAAAACTGAGTCGATTTATATATGTTGTGAATAATTCTGAGAAAAATTTGTTTTTTGGAAAAAAATCGCTGTACTCCTTCTCAGGGATGGCCTGGTCAAAAATGATAATTGTTTCGATAACTCAACCATTTCTTAAGGGATCCTTCTCATCTTCGAACTCGATCTAGATATTGATGAGACAATTCTGCACACAAAATTTCAGCTTAATCGAATATAATTGTGAAGAGTTATTGAATAAACGGACGGACGGACGGACACACTGACCGATTCTATAGTTTATTCTTTTTTTCTTGAGTACACAAAAACTAACTGTCACTAATTTCTTGCATGCATTCATTCACACCGGTGAGTCTAATGTTTTACAGAGTCTACATTTGTAGTAAATTATTGAATTCATCAAAAATTCTATAATAAGCCAACTTATAAATAAAATACACATTACTGCCTTTTATATTTTTTTAAATCTTTAGTTAAAACACCAATAAGCAGAAAATTTCATCATTATGAAGACAGACTGAACTGTAAAAGTTTCCTGATTGTATTTTATCATGATCTTTTTACTTCGATTTTTTTCTATTTGAAGTATATCAAACTACTTTATGTACATATATTAGATTAGTTTGTACTATCAAATTTAAGAAGTCTTTATGTGAACAAGAATACGTTTGGAAAGTTAGCACAAGATTCGAGTTTTTTCCAGCCCGGATTCGCCTATGTGGTTGTGTTGAATTTCATTTTCGTTGTGTTGGATGCAGAATTTTGCGCTGAATCGAATGGTGTAATTTTTAAAGGGTGTTGCCGATCAAAATCTGGCATTTTACCTGGAAATACTGCTTTTTCTGAAAACCTTGTAGAAGTAATTTCAGCCTGGATTCGCTGCTTTAGCTGTGTTGAATCTGAAAATGGTTGTGTTGAATTCAGAATGAAATTCTGCATTGAATGATGCTAAACTTGTATGGGGTCATCGATCAAAAAATTTCTGGTCTCACCCAAGTCATCTCTCAAAATCTATATTCCAGTCCCACCCAAGTCGAAGAATTTTGGTCGATGACCCCATACAAATTTAACATTATTCGATGCAAAATTTCATTCTGAATTCAACACAACCATTTCCAGAACCAACACAGCTAAAGCAGCGAATCCGGGCTGGAAATATTTTTACAAGATTTTCAGAAAAAGCAGTATTTTCGGATAAAGTGCCAGATTTTGTTCGGTAATCCCCTTCTAAAATTACACCATTCGATTCAGCACAAAATTCTGCACCCCACACAACAAAAATGAAATTCAACACAACCATATAGGCGAATCCGGGCTGGAAGAACTCGAATCTTGTGCTAACTTCCCCAACGTAACAAGAATATAGAACAGATACGATAGAAGATTAGAACGCATGATAAAAATCGTTTACGATGTCATGTTTTTCAATTTATTTTTCGTCTCAAGAGAACAATCGATCATCCATACTAATATGAATATATCAGTGTTGCACTATATAGCATATTTTTTTTCTATCGAAGAACAGCACAAGCATAGAATCTATGAATAATATCTAATCAACAAAAAGCAGAAGAAAAAAATCTTCTCCGACGGCTATAATGCTACTCATAGTATCGTTGCCTGTCTCTTCCGGAACAATCTACGATTCAATACGAATAGTCTTTCTACCTTTCTTCTCTGGTATTTTATTATATGCAGATCTGTTATATATATATATATATATATAGACCAATAGAATAATAAATTTACATATCAGCAAGCATTTACTTTTATTTAGATAATTTTAAATATAACTATTGATATATGTCACTACACACAGTTTTCATGTTGACTTTTATCTTGCATATTTTGATTGTTCAGTCGATTGCTAGTCGACTCAGTTGTAAGTACATAATAAAAGAGTTTTATAATTTATAATTTATATAATTCTATACCTAGCCGATTATCGGTACGAAAGTGGTGATGATGAAGAATATGGTTTAGTAAAACGTATTTTTTTCCGTAAGCCTACACCGGCGCCAGCTGAGCGAACATCAAGCATTATTGGGAATATCATTCGTCCTTCATCGACACCTTCGTCAAATGAAAGTAAAAACAAGTTTTTGATTATCATCTTTCATTTAATACATCTTTTTCCGATTTAAATATTATAGAGCCGGTAATAGAAACTGAGACAGCAACATATGCACCTTCATATTCAACATCAGATCCATGTGATTTGAATCCTTGTGAACATGAAGGCCGTTGTATTCGAAAAGGACAAATGGCCTATGAATGCAAATGTGTAGGCCCATGGCGAGGAATGTATTGTGGCATCTGTGAGTGATAAAATATATTCAAGTATGCACCAAAGCTTTATATTTTTATTAGCCGACGCATGCTATAGAGCTCCATGCCAAAATGAAGGTAAATGTTTTAATGTGCACGATGATTATTGGTGTAAATGCTCGAGTGATTATTATGGTAAGATCGTATTGCTCATTCATGTTATTTTTAAATACACATTGATATAATTTGATATGTTCTAGGAAGTGATTGCCAACACAGTAAATATATATTTAATAGGTCTTACGTCTTCGAATTGTTTTCTTTTTTTAATTCTCTTTAGAATCCGCCAGTTCAAGTTCCTCGGAAAATCAATGCCAACCAAATATTTGTCATACTGGTCGATGTGTTTCCCTTGAAACAAAATATTATTGTGATTGTCCCAAAGATCGTTATGGTGATCACTGTGAAAAGCGTATGAAATTTTAAAACTATTGAGTAATTTTTATTATTAAATGATTTTATTTTTTTGATAGAAATCTTCAAACGAGCAATTTCTAAATTTCAATTATATGAAAGTTTATTGAATCAACTGAAGCGAAACATGCGCAAAAAAAGTATGAGACATGCGCACCAGTACGGCAAAGATGATGATGTGGCCATCTATGATGTAAAGAATGGAATTTATTTTTAGAATCCTTTCTCATTCGTAAAATTTCAATTTCCCCATGAATAAAATTTTAATTTTAACTATGAATACGTATATACGGCATTTGATTCAAAATCTATTATTTTACAAGTGACTGTGAATAAAAGAAAATTTAGAAAAAATAATGAAAAAGAGCGGCTGACGTATGTGCATCTCGAGTTGAATTGCACATATAAGAAATACAAACGTATAAAGACGACACAAGGATGTATAAGAATAAATAAATAAATAACTTGTCAGAGTACTTTCTAATACCTTCGATAAGGTTTATGAAAATGCAACGTATGATACACCCCATGTTGCGAATACCGGATCATTTTTTGCGGTAAACCGCGGTATTTATCCGTTCTGCGGTAACCGGACCGGTAAAGCCGCGGTTAGCCGCCGATTTTCATGCGGTTTTTATTACATGGGACCCTTTTAAAGTTGTTCAGTCATATAAACGCTATGATAGCCGTTTCGGCACGCGGTATATTCACTTGTTAAACCTTTTTATTTCGTCTTCTGATGGGTAGATAAAAGGGTTTATCGCATGCTGCTAAACAGTAGAAAAGGGTATATCATACGTTGCATTTTCATAAACGTTCATTGTTCGGCACTTTTTTTTATCAGCGTAGGCAATCTATTTTGAGTATGTACAGAAGGATTCTATGGACTTTTTAACAATAGTTCTCTTTTTCTCATTGAACATTTTGTCTTGTACCGGGTAATAACAATAATACATTCATCCATCAATACTGAACTCATCATTTTACTATTGGTACAGCCACATAGTGCAGTTTGATAATAAAAATTTCCAGTCAAATAAGTATATCTTTCCTGAATTCTAAATAGCTACCATAATATCGTGTAGCATTGTGACAATAGTGCCCACCAGAAAAACGTGAACTTCAAAGGGAACCAAATATTAATTTTCAGTTGACTTTCATCAAAATTTGAAAAACTCTTCTCTTCACAGCATGCATGCATACATCTAGCAAAGTCTAATCGAAACACTTACATTGATGATTCATAAAGTTGTGCTAGAAAAAGACATTATATAGATATTCTTCTAAATCTATCAACAAAGAGCATTTGTCATGAAACTATAAAATAAGACTTTAGAATGTTACTGAATGATGCTGAATTAGAACAGAATGAGAACTGCGAATATGAGGTCGATTATTGGAATTTTGATTCAAATGATCAATTACTCGATAAATTAGCTGTTTCATGATAAATTAATTGCTAACATAAAACTTAGAAAAAATCACTTTTTTTATTGAAAATGATTCGAAAATAATTATTAAAACTACTTTGGAAATTCGTTTGACATATTCAAATAAGTGAAGTTCATCAGATAAGTTATAATATAGTATTTCTATTTTGCTAGCTAGTGCGAATTCAAAAGACATCAAAATATTTATATTGTCAACTTATTGCTAAAGTGGTAGAGTTAAGAAGAAAAGAAACTAATGAAGCCATATCACTCATATTTACTTACTATAAAAATGACAAACCAATAGCAATATTTGAGTTAATCTCTGAAAATCTAACGAATCTACGGGTAGCATTTAAACTTTGCCTTTAAGTTAAAGTTTGAAATTGGCATCCGTAGCAAATGATTGTTATATTTAGAAATAATACAATATTATAACATCATCAACAGCAACAAAACGAAACAAGCCTTATTACATGAAAAATAAAACCAATACGTAAAATTTTAAAATTTATTGAATGAGTTCAACGTTTGCCACATTTATATCATTCCTACAGAATATTTTACAGTTAATATTACATGACTTGACAAATAACTGAAAAGAAAATATTAACAATCAATCTTCACAATACAGTTCTTATTACAATTCAGAGCTTTTTGTTGTATCTTTTTGGGAGAAAAAGAGAAAAGGAATAATTCGTTTTAATTTACATAAGGTCGCTAAAATAATACCCTTGTATCATGTATACCAACTGTAAGGAGAAACTTCTTCTATAGGCAACATCATATATGCCAAGAGAAAACTTAAAATGATTACTTCCAGATATTTTTATATCTTTAAATAAATATAGAAAGGGAAAAAGATAGATTTCGCTATAATTTTTCGATTTTAATTAGAATAAGAAAAGCATCAACAGGGAAAAGCGAGGTTTTTGTGTACTCCCAGACTATGTCACAACTAAATTTCAAAAATATTTAGTTATTTCAAGTCTACTATTCATTTGTGTTACGCTATGTTAGCAGCTGCCCAACCAGTGCAAGCCTAATTGACAATAAATCGTAAATACTTCGTTTTACTTCGTGGATATTCAAAATTTTCGAGTCTAATGAACTATTTAGACTTTATTGTCAGATAGGTTTGCACTGGCTGAACCCCGGTTAATATACTATAACACAACTGGGCATTAGGGCTGAAATAACTAAACATATTTGAAACATAGTTATGACAATATATCCATATTCAATCATTATTACTTGTAGCAAAAGGCAAAAACAAAGGTGATCCAATTATAATCTGGTTGCACATACAATTTTATGTAGTTTTTACGTACTTTTTTTTATTTATCACGCAATGTTACCGGTAGTTATTAATACATGCGATATGATGACGGATGTCACTGTATGAAATAATTTGACTTCATTCATCATTGGATATTACCTTGCCAATGATCAAGCACGACTCTCTGTTCTGTTTTTCGTTCGTTTTTATGTTCGTAGCTGTGGTCACTATTTGAATGCATCGTTACAATAACGTGCAAATGGAGTCTCCTTTTTTTCTGTTATAAAATGAAGTTTGTTATAACTATGCGATAGAGGCTCATAAGTAACGATGCTCGATATTTTATTTGCCGTTTCATATAACAAATTGCGTAAAATTTTTCTTTTTCTTTTTTCTTTCTTTCTATACTATTCTCAAGGACTTGTACCGGCTCCATGTAATTACTAATTAAATTCTAGATTCAAAACTACTCTATAAATCGACATATTCAACAAAAAGATGGGACGTCATTCCACTGACAGTGACGACGAAAAAATTGGTAATTCATCCATAAAACGAGACGACGGCGATAGTGGACCAGGTTCAGATTCTGATCTCGATGAAGAAGAATATATTGTTGAAAAAATTCTCAAGATGCGTACTATAAAAAAAGGCAAAGTTGAATGTGAGAGATCCGATTATTTTTATCTTTAACCATGCATATTATACAATGTTTTTTGCTATTCTTATTAAAATATAGATTTTCTTAAATGGAAAGGTTATCCACATACTCAAAACACATGGGTAAATAATGATTTTTTTAAATTCTATTATTTTTAAATTTAGCCGCTTGATATTTTTAGGAACCTGCAGAACATCTTGATTGTCCTGAATTAATAGCTGCTTTTTTGGCTGAACAAAAAGAAAAAGACAAGCGCGAAGCATCATCGTCGAGAACCGATGAAAATTCCAATAGAAAACGATCTTCTAGTACGAGTGGTAGTACTAATCATAATCACAATAGTCATCATAATTCTCATCATAACAATCATCACAATAGCAATAATAATAACAATGATACTGCGAAAACTGCAAATTCTAATGCTACAACTACGAATAATGCCAATACTCCTTCGGCTAATACTCCTTCGGCTAATACTGCTTCAGCTAATACTGCTTCAGCTAATACTGCTTCAGCTAATACTCCTTCAGCTAACATTATTAATACTAATATTACGACAAATAATAATAAAAGCAATTCAGATGGCGATAAGAATAATAATAATACGTCGTCAGCAAAACGACCTCGTATTGAATACGAACAAACAGGTTACGCTCGTGGTCTTCAGCCGGATGCTTTCTTGGGTGCAACGGATATTTATGATGAAGAATTAATGTTTCTGTAAGAAATTTCAATTTTTCGATGCTTTAAAATCAATACTTTTTTTAAAGAGTAAAATGGCAAGGTGTTAGTAAAGCTGAACTTGTTCCATCTCGTATAGTGAATAAAGAATCTCCACAAATGGTTATTAAATTTTACGAAGAACGTTTAACATGGAATGCGACAAATAACAGTTTACATGATAATAAAAAAGCTTAAAAATATTATTCCAAATAATGTAATCCTTTCAAGACTGTGTACATTGATGTATTTGTCTAAACCTACTTACTCTGACATGAACAATACGACATTTTGTTTAAGTTTTTTCTTTGCTTTAAATCATCTGTATATTGTGATCCGATTTTATTGTATATCTTTCAAAAGATAGAGTTAAATATGTAGTAAAATGACAAAAAAGAAGAAGTAGTATTAGCATTTTCTTTTCTTATTATTTCACTTTTTTATGAGTTTTTAATACATTGTCAAATAAAAATACTTTTAAGCAAAACAAATTTTCATTTGATATTTTAATCGGACTAGTTAGCAGAAAACTCATTTTAATTTATATATTAGTTGCATATTTACGAACGTCATTATCCTAAACGCAATATGTACTCCAAAGAAAAAGAAAAAAACAACAAGGCCATTCTCATTTAAGTATTTATAGAAAATCCTTGAATGTGATGAACACGAAGCACAGCTTATAGAGTATGTTCCGAATTTTTTATATAAGAAAAAAAGAAACAGTCAGCTCTCTAAATCAATCTTGAAGATATAATACAGCAGAAGCGCAAATAAGATAGATTGCTATAATAATTGTTCACATACTGAGATGTGTCACAAGCAATAGCATTCTTTTATAAAAGAATGTTTTTGACTTCATGTGATGCTAATCATTAGACATAATGAGCCTCTTCAGTGACACTCGTTTGTTGACGTCTAGATCAATTAACATTTGTATTGTTGTAAAAGAGGTATATGTCGAAGAATTAAAACTTTCCATATCATACATGTGAATATCTCTATGAAATAGAGAATTTCTTCCTTGTACCATTCACAGCAAGAAATTACGAGATGTAGTAATCTTGATAAAAAAAAAACTAGATCTTCTACTTTTGAAAAAAATAGCTTCCCAATCCATATAACCCATGCAATATTCTAAACACAAATTGACAATATGAAGCAAAATATACTAAGAAGAATTGAAATGGAAGTTGTTTTTTGCGGGAAGATAGTAAATGGTTACCACTAACCAATACATTCAATACTATTATGTAATGTAAAATTCTGATTAAAAAAAGAGTTGAACTAATTTTAATTTATTTTTGCAGCGATTACAATTCATAATTTTTGTTTAGCTCAATACAATCTGTATTGAATGTCGTCTATGATTAAATCGAAGTAATACAAAAGAAGTTGTATCAGTGATTCTATCAAACAGAATCAATATTGTTAGAATTTTTCATTCAATTACGACAGAAAATGCATTCCACAATTTCATTTAATATAGTCTTGGTAAAACTTATCAGTTACACTATAACTATTCTCAAAAAGAAAAGCTCACTCCTGTATCCACAATAGAAAGACTATACGAAATTATATGAAATTTCATTTTAATTGCTAACTCTTTTCACGCTGACTATTTTTTGTTATTGTTATTTTGCATGTGATAATTCAATCGTCGACTCGAATGCCACGTACTTCAGCGAAATAAAAGTTTTTATTTACACTTGACGTTACTATCTCTTGTTAATTTTTCAAAGCACACCACGCACTGAATACTAGGCTATACAACAAGACAACCGATATCAGTCAAAAAAGACGCCCACGCCTATGCCCACGCAAACCACGACATAAATATACATTAAAAACAAAAAGAACGTCAACCGAATGCAACGAAACAAAAACGATTTTTGTTCAGATACTTTCTCTCGAATAATCTGAACAATAATGGCTACGAAGGAAGACACAAAACAAAAATAAAAAGTATATAATAAATAATGATAAAGTTCATGAAGTTCTCTGTTTTTTTCTAGGTGGACATATAATAGTGTTTTGTAGTGACGCCATAGCTCGATAAGCATCTGCTAATAAATGTGGATGAGTACGTATCATTGTTTGAAAACCTGGTGTATCTAAGACATCTGTAAAAAAGAATAAATTAAATATTAGCATTAAAAATATCTCTTTTTTAATACCTTGTGGGTGAGCATTAATAAAATCAATAGCTTGTTGCCGCAATTGCGTAGCTGAATGAAGATCAGCAAGTATAAGTGTATCAGCAACATTGTCACGATCAATAGTTGTACACAATGTTTCCTCGCATTGAACTTTAAGTCTTTCCAAACAATATTTATCAGCAGCTGGTAAAAGTGCATCAGCAACTGTATCAAGATTTTGTGCTTTTCCAGTATATATAAAACGAAGAATTTCAAACATAATATCTGCATCAATATCTTCGATTTCAACACGTGAACGTTCGTTTTCGAGCATTTTATGTTCAAACATTGCTTGAAAAACTTTCGATCGTGCACCTAATATTGCTTTATGAACAGGAAATTCTTTATGGCCACAAACAAGTGTTACATCGGAATAGATCGGAGTGTCAAGTAAAGATTGAAAATCGTCACTTAAATGACATTCGGGAATTTTAAGCTAGAAAAATAGAAAATTACGATAAATTTTCATTTTCAACAACGATCTTACCGAGTTAATTTGTGTTTGTCCGCTAAAATTCACACTATCAGCAACAACGCTAACTTCACAAAATAATGTTAATTTATCATCCGGTAAAAGACCATTAGCTTCATCAATTAAGAAATCACGACGAATGAATTTTTTAAAACCCCAATCTTTTCCTAAAATTTGAAAAAAAAATTGTTTCTCGCTGTAAAACATGAAACAAAGAGGAATGTTTAATTATGTATATTGTGTTAATAAGTTGGACTTCGCCTCAATAACGTCTTATTGTAATCTACTATCTACGTTGTTATTGCATTTCTCAGACTAATAATAAGTAAACCGAATGTATTCCAAAATAAAAACCATAAAACAATATTATTGTAATTTACAACAGTACTATCGTTGTGTCCTATAGAAATTTATGAGAAGAACTTTTTGATAAAAAAATTACCTTGAACAAATCGATAAGCACGTTGAGATTCCATTGCTTTTGTTTCGTCGCCTTTTGAGTTAAGTATTGAAAATTTAAATTTAGCTCTTGTTTCACATTTACTATTTGGTGCGGCAACAAGTAATAGATACAATGATAAATAATCTTTCGATTCTTCATCAAGACCTTTTGGATTAAGACGTAAACACCATTTAAGTTTATCATTTGCATTAGCTGAAAATGAGGACGATTTTAATGCTTCACCCATTTCTTCACGACAAAATGAAAAATTATTTATTGTCCAATGAAATGAAAACTATTTAAGAAAAAAAAGAAAAAACAAATATTAAATTATCTCGAACATAGCACACGAAATTAGTATCAATAGAAAACTAATCCTCAAATGAATCATTACTTATTTATTTTATTATCGACAACTAAAAACATATTTACATTTGAGTCATTCAATTCGAAATATTTTATTGGTCCATGAAGAAAACTATTGACAAAGTCCAATTTTTAAAATTAAATAAAGTACTCAAATCGTATCCTTCGTAAATGAAAACAAAATTAATTTTACACGTGAAAATTTTAACAATCATATTCATGTAAACATTAGTTTGATATGTTTGAAGACGTCTAGTTCATCATGTCATATAAGGAAATAATTAGTTTTTTACTTCTATCATTCCATCTTTTCTCTAGAAAAACAAAAACAATTCTTTACTTTGATAACTTTAACACTTGTCAAACACCATGATTCTGAAATCGGTTGATTAAATGCAGAAATTGGTTGTTGTACTGTTGAGACTGTCGTATGTTGATGATTATTTTGTGTCAATAAAATACTACTTGATGTATCACTTATCATACTGCCAGCTATATAATGAACAGAGGGTGATGGCGCTCTTACAACAACAATATTTTGTGGTGAATCGGGTAGCATCATTTGTAATTCTTAATTGCAAAGTTAAAGAATCAAACGTATGCACGAGAAATCTAGAAAATAAAATAATTGTTACTATTATGATCAAATAGTTTTGACTACTACTATCTGTTGACTACATAGTTAATCACAGAAAATAAATGAATCATTTGGCGTAAGGTTATTTCAGTGACACATATAGATTATACATTCTTTATCAATGAAATTTTTAAGAAAGTTTTTGAGATAATTTTTATTTCTTCAAATTGTTTTATTTCTTAGTTTTCGAATTAGCGAACTCTAACTCATTATATCATTGGTTAAAATATTCAAACCAATAGAAAATTTATTACGAAGCAGGTAAATTATTTATTGTTTATTTTTCTGGTTCACGATAGATATGATAAAATTTCAACCGCAGCTAGCATCTTTTCGGTCTTTATTATCCTCATCCTACCAAAGATACTATTCATCATCTTCACAAATCCATGATGTTTACATATATAATTCAAAAATTAAATCATTGGAGAAATTTGAACCTAAATATCCTGGAACGATATTTTGGTAGGCAACTTATTCTTTCATTTCATTATGCTTCTCTTTTTCCTTTCTTGTTGATATAAAGGTATTCCTGTGGTCCAACAGTTTATGATAGTTCTCATATAGGTCATGCTAGTACCTATGTCACATTTGATATTATACATCGAATATTAAAGCATGTATTCAATTATAATATTGTTCTTATGATGGGTATAACCGATATTGACGATAAAATAATAAACCGTAGTCAAAAAGTTTGTTTAGAAATACTTGCAGAGGATTCATTTTTTTTTTCGTTTTATTTCATATAGGAACATGTTCACTATTTAGAAATATCGAAAAAATATGAGCAAGAATTTATTGATGATATGTCAAAACTTAATGTTCAACCACCAACACTATACGCACGTGTATCGGAACATATACCATTAATAATTAATTTTATACAAAAACTAATTGATGATGGCTTTGCTTATTCATGTCCATCAGGTAAATGACAAGATTTCATCTCATATAAATTAGAAAAAATTTGTCTTCAAGGGTCAGTTTACTTTAATATGACTCGATATGGAGAAAAAAATGAATACAATCATCATCGTATGAATGAACAAGGTGTATCATCATTAGAATCAGATATTATTAATGAAAAACGAAATGCCCGCGATTTTGCACTATGGAAAGGACGAGACAAAACAGCTAACGAATTGAAATTTCAATCACCATGGGGTTTTGGAAGACCTGGCTGGCATATTGAATGTTCTGCAATGGTTAGGTAAATAAATAGTCTGTTATTATTTTGGAAAAAAATACAAAGACGAAACCATTATTTTAGCCGAACATTTGGATCTCATCTTGATATACATTCCGGTGGACTCGATCTTGTTTTTCCTCATCATGCTAATGAAATACTTCAATCAACAGCCTACCATGGTAGTAAAACGTGGGTTAATTATTGGTTACATGCGGGTATTAATTAACGACTTTTTAGTTCAATGAAAGAAAATAATTGAAATCTAGGTTTATTAAATACGAAATCTATGGATGAAAAAATGTCGAAATCATTAAACAATACAATACTTATTCGTGATATGCTTAAAACATATACAGCAACACAATTTCGTTTATTCTGTCTAATGCATGATTATCGATCACGTAAGTTCATGAAGAAATTTCATATTAAGATTTATTCATAGATTTTAGCTAGATCGTTTGAATCAGCTGCTATTCAACAAGCATTATTCGTGGATAAATTATTTAAAGCATTTTTTGAAACAATTCAAGCTTGCCAAAAAGGTCTAGTTGATATATCAACTTTATCTGAAGCTGAAATAATTACAAAGTATAAGAGATAATTTTCAAAATTATCGCGGTCTTTAATCTGTTTTATTCTTATTCAATTGTATAGAATCAGAAATGCACAGGAAGAAATTGTTGATGTTTTAGCAAATAATTTTGATACTCCATCAGCTATGACACGGCTACAAGAATTAGTTCATTGGATTAATTCACATATGAATTATGACACACCTACCACCAATGAGGTATGATATATCAATGGGTAAGTTAGATGTTCATATAAATAGAAACACCATTCGATTGATGTACATACACATCGAGAGCATAGACATGAAACAATTTTAGTTTTATACACTAAGAAAATAGTTTAATTTTCTAACTATGTATTCATTTCTGCTTTGTTTTTTTTATCACTGGTTATGTAATCCCGTTTTCATTCATACTGATGAGAAAGAAGTATCCATATTCTATGAGCTTTTTTTTTGATTGATTATCAGTATGTACATCAGGAATAAAACAAGTAAAGTACTTGATCTTTCCTTTGAAAAATGTTTTTTTTTTGTGAACTTTGACTTCGACTTTAACATGGACGAAAAGTACAAATATTCTCGACTGACATCTGCTCTATATTGTTTTTGATCCAAGTTATACCATTTGTTTTGCATACTGTTTTTCTTCGAAGAAACAGGAAAATAAAATCAAGAACTTAAAACTGCTGGAACAAAGCTTTCGTTCATTTTTCTGATTGCTAAAATGCAAACTATTCGAATCAAACTTTTGATCTTTTCAAATATATCTTCAAATGTTATTCTTTTTTGGTATCATAGAAATCATTGTCCGTACATTTTGTGAGATGCTTGAAAACTAGGCATTGAAGCTACTTTTAAAAATATACAATTTAAAAAATATTTTCGGAAAAATTAAAATAGGAAAATTTGTTGCGCAATCTTATACTATCAAGATATTGTGAACACATATTCGAGTAAAGCAAAATATGAAAAATTCTAAGTAATTGCTTCTGATTCCAAACACATTTCACTTTCAATAATCCATAAAATTGAAGGTACTCACGCCAAATGAATATTTACTAGACATAATAAAGTTATTTGTCAGCGTTAAAATAAAACTTTATAGAAAAGAAATAATAAAGAGAAACTCAAGATATTGAATTTTATCAATTGAAGAGAGTTACGTTTATTTCTTTGGATTCTGATCTACTCGATTTCTAGTGATCACTTTTTTTTCTGTTCTTTAGAATACAATACATAACATTCCAACGTGTGCATTATTTCTAGCCGTTGATTTTATTCAATCATGGTTAAATATATTTGGTATAGATATTAGTTTATCTGGTCACCAAAATCAAGTAAATCTATAGACTTGGATATTTTTCATGAAAGTTTGCTTTTGTTTTTTGTTTTTGAAAATAATAGAATAGTTCATCAGATCGTATTCTACTAGAAAATGTGATTGAAAAAAGTGTTCAATTTCGTACTAATATACGTGAAATATGTCGTCGATCACCATCGGATGAAGTAAATCCCAAGAAATTGTTACTCGAACAATGCGATGATTATCGTTCACAAATGAAGTATATTGGTGTTGACATAAAAGTATTACAACAAATTATTGATTTATTTTTATTTCAAGATCTTTTCATGCATTTTAGGATCGACATCAAGCTTCAACATGGTCCTTTAAGAAATGAAAATTGATCTTGTGTTTTCTTTTTTCTTCATTGATATTCATAGAATAGAATGAAGAATTGAAAATCTAGTTGACACATTTTTAATATTTCAGATTTGTAAACCTTCTCTATAAATAATTAAAAATGAGTTTTGCACTTATGCGCGGCTTTCGAACATTAAGTCGTATTGCTCATCCATCTTTGGTCAATTCATACTTTCTTGGTGGCCCGTCATCGGTAAAATTTGCCTATTTGAAAAAAAATTCGCTTGATTTTATTGGCCTCTTTAAATTCTATTTAAATAGAAATCAATGATACCTATAACTAGTGGAACAGCCATTCAACCTGTATTTTCACCTCAAAATTCAGTAGCAAATATGGCTTCATTCACTACATCAGATCATTGGAAGGTTGAACGTGTGGTAGCTGTAGCTATGGTTGCTATTATTCCAGGCTCATTTGTCTGTGATTCAGCAATGATGAATTATTTACTTGCTGCTACCATGGCTATACATGCTCATTGGGGTTTGTTGAATAAATATTTTTTGAGTATCTAATAATAAATTGTATGCTTCAAGGAATGGACGCAGTATTGATTGATTACTGTCCAAGAAAAGCCTTACCATTTGCTAATCTTCTGCGATATGCAATGACAGCTATTGCTTTTGGTGGTCTTTGGTAAGAGTGAATACGAATATTTTTATTCACTGATGCATTGTTTCTTATTTTAGTTATTTCAACTACAACGACATGGGTTTAACAAAAGCATTGAAAGCACTTTGGGCTCTTCATTGAACATTTTATTATATCTATCTCTAGATTTCAATCCTGCACAGACACATATTATCGTATAATTATTTTGCCCGTAACTTTAGTGAGATTGAATATCAATTCTATCCTTTTTTCTTTTTGCTGAATAAAACAAAAACAAAAAAAAATCTTTTCATCAATTATCTTTTTATTTGATTCATTAATAAACGAATCTCTATGACTCAATATGTGTCTTAGTGAGATATCGATAGAGAATATATTAAAATCATTAATATCAATAAAAATAAATAAAATATTGTTGATTAAAATTTCTCGTTGAACATGTTTCGTTCATTGTCTCACAACATTTTCTTATTTCCAGACTTGCGATGGCTTTACGCGGTCTTAAAGTACTTGAATTATCTGGTTTAGCGCCGGCTCCATTTTGTGGTATGCTTCTTGCTGATTATGGTGCTTCTGTAATACGTGTTGATCGAAAAGGTGATCAACAAAATACTCGGCTTGATCGTCTTGCACGAGGCAAACGATCGATTTCAATCGATCTTAAAACACCAGCAGCTATTGATATATTTCGGCGGCTATCTTCTAAAGCTGATGTACTTATTGAACCATTTCGACCAGGTGTTATGGAAAAATTAGGATTAGGTCCACATGTATTACTAAACGAAAATAAACGTCTTATTTATGCTCGTTTATCAGGTTATGGACAAGATGGTCCATTATCAATGAAAGCTGGTCATGACATTAATTATCTATCGATTAGTGGCCTATTATCTATGTTTGGTAGAGCAAATAGCAAACCACATCCACCTATTAATTTAGCAGCGGATTTTGCTGGTGGTGGTTTATTAGCTGCTTATGCAATTATGTCAGCAATATTTGAAAGACAAGCAACGAATCTTGGACAAGTACTTGACTTATCACTTGCCGAAGGTCTATAGATTCTTTTTGGCCTAGTTAATAAAATTATTTATTCATTTATATAGGATCATCCTATGTCAGTTCGTGGATGTGGACTTCACGTGATTTACCCATTGTATGGTTTGGTGAACAACGTGGTGAAAATCTTCTTGATGGTGGAACTCATTTCTATGATACATATGAAACATCAGATGGACTTTATATGGCTGTTGGTGCACTTGAGCCGCAATTTTATACGCAATTACTTCTTGGCCTTGGTCTTGATCCCGATGATGAAAAGCATAGTCAAATGAATATAAATGAAATGAAAATAAAATTTGAACAATTATTTAAAACTAAAACTCAAAAAGAGTGGACTGAAATATTTAATGAATACGATGCTTGTTGTACACCTGTGTTAGATTGGAATTCTGCATGTGAACATAAACATAACCAAGAAAGAAACAATTTTTCTACAGATCAAAATAAGAATAGAATTGTACCAATGCCAGCACCGAAATTTTCAGTATCGAAATTACCATCAATCAATAGACCATTACCATTGCCAGGTGAACATACAATGGAGATTTTACGTGAAATTGGTTATAGTAATGACAATATTAAACAATTAATTAAAGAAAATATTGTTCAGAATGTTGAACGATCGAAATCAAAATTATAATGATTCTTTTTTTTTTTATAATTCTTTCTTTTTTAATTTATTCATTTACATCTGAATAAACGCATTCTTATTATAGTACGTACAAATAAAAATGTCATTTTCTATCCTTTTCCTATTGTAACTGTAGTGTTCACTATAGGTTGTCTATTAGACTATAGTTTCCTACTCCTTCATTCGATATTTTGTTTGTAAACGCCCACTATGATTACCATGACATTTAAATGGATAAGAACGGATCTGAAGCATCATAGGAGAAAAACTATGCGGTATGCTTCTGATACGAACATAGTACCAAAGAAGAAAACATGTGGAAATAGTTGTTTATTATCACACAACTTATAACCTACTACTAAATGCCTCCAAAGGAAAATCCAAAACAGACAGAAAATGTGAGAAATAACCTTGAGTTATTTTTGTCAACAACAAGATTTATGAATGAATATCAATGATAATCGATAGATCATTAATATAACTAGTGTTTTCTACCAATTTTTCTTTGATTTTCTATGTCTTGTTCTTATCGATTCTATAGAACTACCTCTTATTATACTGTTGTAATGTTGATGATAATAGTAATAATACTACAATAAAGAAAAGAAAAATCCGTTATCGTCTAGGAAAATATTCAATTAAGCACGGATATGATGATTTCCCGATACAATCTATCAGCATGATAGGCAGTAGCAATAACAACAACATCTGTCTCACTATCACCATTCTATATGGATCGTGAATTCTAATAGCAATAGCATCTAGAAATAGCTCTCGTATCGAGTACTAGGCTTCACAAGAGATAATAAATAAGATCTAAAGTAGACACTAAACTAGATGTATTAAAGAGGTTCATAGCTTTTATTTTCTTTGATTTTACATTAGGTGCCAAGGTTTGAGTATAAACAAATACGAAATGGTCAGTTGCACTACATATGTTTCGGTTGATTCGTTCAATAGAATTATTTTATTACTATCTAGGAAGAAGCACCACATTTAGTTGCACATTTTATGGCTGCTGGAGCTGAGAAACGTTTAGAAGATTATCATTTTTTACGTAATACTTATGAAACAGTAAGTTATGTGTAGATGGTTATAAACAAAAAACAAAGACGAAAAACATTATTCATATAATTATTTAGATAAATTCACAAGAAATACAACTGAACCGTATTTTACGTATGCTTGGTGAAGATGAATTTAGTCTTAATTGGCGAACAGAATTTTTACCCATGGGCAGAGCTCGAACTCGATCGGCTTATGATTTTGATCAATGGAGTAGAACTATGACTTTAAAAGGCAGCATTGCTTATGAACGTCTTCGAGTATTTCATAAAATTTTATCAAACTAAGTCATTGAAATAAAAAATTCTATTATTTGAATAGGAATTAGAACATGATCCTACAAAAGTTGGAGGAGCAACACTACCAACAACATCTCGTCGTGTACAAGAACTTCGAGAACGTCGACAACGATTAAGTGAACAACGTGAATTTGTACCGTCACCATCTGGTCGTGCTAGTAGTGTTGCAGCGTCATCTCGTTTACAAGCTGTAGCTGAATATGATACAGCATTAATTGAATCAGAAACAAAACGAAAACGACAAGTCGAAGAAAATCGATCGAATACTCTAGACAATGAGGCCAATGATTTAACTACAAAACGACGTGAAAAATTGAAAGCAATGCTTGAAGAAGAAAGTAAAAACTATGAAAGTAAGTAGATCTTGTCTAAGAAATAAACAATTGTGGAAAGACAAAAATTCTATTCGGCTCTATTTAGGATCAAAAAACGAAGAATTTGAATCAAATAAACGTTTAACAAACAATAATAATTTGATAAAAGATCAAAACGAACATGTACTAAAAGATCGAAATGAACATGACTTCAAAGATCAAAATGAAAATGTGTTAAAAGACGATGCGAATAATGTTGACAAAAATCGAAAATCATCTGCTGATTCCGATCAAGAAAACTCGGGAGATATTGAGTTAATGTCATTTACTGTTCGTTGGGAACCTGTATCATCATCGAACAAAACTCAAGATGATAACGATTCTTTGATTCGTCTTTTCTGTCAATGGGCATCGCCCAATTCATCATCGACGATTGATTATTTAACAATTGAACGCCAATTTGGTGATCAAGAATGGTTATCTATTGGAGAAAAAATTAATAGATTAGACAATCAAACTCAATTAGATATATCACTAATGAATGATAATGACAAGAAAACTCATGCTACTACTCCATCATTGTTTCGTCTTAAGGCTCATCTTCAAAATGGTCAAACATTTACGAGCAAACCAACAGATGAAATATTTATGAATCTGTGTCCAGAAAAGAATATCATTATACCTGATGTTGAAGTACTTTCACCGAGTTCCGTGCAATTAACATGGGACAATAATGAAAACGAAGAAAAACCAAGTATTTATGATATTGAAAAGAAAGAAGATGAACAATTACAATGGGAAAAAGTGACTGAAGTTCCATTGTCACAACGTTCAGCTAGAATAGATAGTTTAACTGATGCTAATCAATGTCAATTTCGTTTAATATCATCATCGAGTGAACCAGAAGAAATCAAAAAGACAGGTAGGAGAAATACAACATTTTGTTTTTGAATATAAATCTCTCTCTCTCTTTATATATATATTTATAGAAAGTGAGGTCGAACCAGAAGTATTAACTGTACATAATGTGAATGAATGGCTAAATTCATTGCATATTAATCCAACATCAGCGAATACAGTTGATATTGACATATCAGAAGAAGGCTTTAAAGCATTCGATTCATATAAAATTGAATATACAACAGTGGACGAATCAGATCATTGGACACAAGTAAAATATTGTTTATTTTGACAAATTTAAATCGTTCTCTTGTCTTCTTTTTTCGTACTAGATGTCCGATATTACTCATGATAATCCACATTTAGCAATTAAAAATCTTAAAAAAGGTGCCGATTATCACTTTCGTTTCACTCCTATTTCACCAGCAACGGCAACAATGAAAGGAGCTGACACTTCTCAATTTTCTGTTGTTCTTGATGTTAAAATGCCATCAATACGAAAAGGACGATGTTAGTTGGATATTCTATGTATTTATTCTTTTATATTGTTTCATTTTTTTTAGTTGCTTCAAGTGAAAATGAAGCACCTGCCGTCGATGTTGTTCCTCCTCCTCAATTTTCAATTCAAAAACTTGATGCAACTAGTGTTCTTATTGAAGCTGTTGTTCCCGAAGAAGAAACACCAACATTTGAAGATGTTTTTGATGTTTATTCGAAAAATGAAACAATGGATGACGATTGGACTAAAGTACGTAATATATTAAAAAGAAACAAAAATTGTAAAAATTTCTAATACACAGGCTCATTTTTATTTATTATGATTTATGAATTGTTTTTAATAATACAAATGAAACTTTTCGTTTTCACCAATCTAAAAAAACATCTTATTTATGTAGTGCACTAAAAATTACATTTATAAAATCTTTTGTTTTCCACATAGAAATTTCTATAGTTATATTTAATTATTAATACATGATTTAGGTTGGAACAATTGATAAAGAACATCCAAGTACAAAAGTTGAAAATCTTGAAGAAAACATGGCTTATAGTTTTAAAATCGATAACATAACATCACCATTAGATGAGGAGCAAGCTAATACCGTACAAGAATTAAAATTTGATACAACACCGGGTAAAATTTTCTTCGACATATAGTCATCTTTTCTTGCCACTGGACATTCTAATTGAAAATTATCTCGCATATATTTCTTCTATTTTAGTAAAACTATATGATGCATCAGCATTACTCGAGAAAATAGAAAAAAATCTTGAAAATGTTGTTAATAATGTTATGCAAGCAGGTAAGAAGAATCGCATATTTTTCTTCAATTATGACTAACAGATAGAGTTTGAAGCGATAGCAATAGAATCAAATTTTCGGTACATATAACCTGTTTCAACCTATCTATAATGAGGAAGCCAGACATGATGTGACTTCGTATAATCTTCCTCTTACCATAATTTTCTCAAATATCATCACATGTCGTATCTGTTATATTGTAATAGTACATTTAAAGGAAGATGTGAGTTTGAATGAAATCGAGAGCTAAACTAACATCCACATTATCATAACAATCTCAAAACTAGCAAAGAAAACATTTCTAAATTGATATTGTAAAAGATTTGAAATTTATCTTTTGGTTTTTAACATTCCAATAATAATCCTTGTTTCTAACGAACATTTTTGTGTACAATTTCTTTATAGCTATATATAAATAAAAACGATAATTTTTCGAAAAAAGTTTCATGTAATTTATCTTTGCAGCTGCTGGCCATCAAACGCTTGATGAACCGGTGAATAAAAGTTTAAATGAAGTTATTAAAGAAGCATTTCGTGAGGAAGCACTTGTAGCCAATGAGGAATTCGGATTTGATACATTGGTATTAAATGATGATTTACTATTATATCGTGGCCCAAAACAAATGATGTTAAAAGAATTAGAAGTAGATGAAACAGGCGATTTATCAAAACATTACGGTGAAATTATAATTCATAATTATTGTACAACAGATCAATCAGTTGTTGTTCGAGAAGATAATTCTAATACGCGTGTTGAAAATATTGATGGTGATATAATTATACGTAATGTTGTTAGTGATGTTTTGCTAAAAAATGAACAAACACGTCATCAATTATCAATGAATATTGTTGGACAAGCGTTTTTAAAGGGTGTTCAAGGAACGTTAGTTGCATCGAAATTTAAAGGGATTATAGTTGTGAAAAATGTACATAAACCGTAGAAAAGAAATAAGTCGATAGATTGTTTTTTTTATTCTTTTTATCCTTATTAGAACTTTTTCTTTATTTTTTTCTTTAATTCTTTTTCAAAAAATAAAAATAACAATAAACTAGTATTAGAAAGATGCAAAATAATGAACAAAATGTTTTTTCTTGATAAAACCATCATAAGACAATATTTAGACAAGTTTTTTTTTACGGAGTGGTGTCGACATCTTTCATTGAAATCGGTTTTTGATACTGTTCTTGTAATGATTTACTATCTGAAATGTGAAAACAAAAATATAGAAATCTTCTTTTTGTTTCGTTTCATAATTATTAAATACAAACAATCGGATAGTTCTGCATTCTTTCGCACACAGAATAATCTTGAGCGAATATTAGCATTAGATATAATATATACAAATGGATTAAAATAAATCGACGATTTAGCAAATACAGCTATATATGGAGAGAGAAAAAGGTAGAAAATAATCAATAGTAACTAAATGATTTAAAAATAAATCATGTTACCTGGTATTGTACCGCCTAATGGTGAAATTAAATCCGGAGAAAAAAATGATGATAGAAATGCTACAATCGCATAAGGTGTCCATGCAACCGTAAAAGTAACTAAAGATAAATTTTTAAACATGCATTGTAGTTAATGAGAAATTCAAAATCCTATCATAAAATATATATTCATGAAGCTTCTTAGACAGAAAAGCGATAGTTACTTGATAAAATAGAAGAGAAATCTTTCTAAGAAAGACTTCACACAAGTTAAGTCAAACTTATCAGAACAAGACAAAAACAATAGTTTGAAAAGTTTGAAATTAGCCAGTATCTCATTATAAATCGAACTCATTGTAAATGTAAATTTACAATCATGGAATATTAATCATCGGATGTTTTGATTTATGTATTGCACGATGGATAATTTTCAGCTCTATAAAACAAATGTGGTCACGATTGCAAAGAGAATTTCTTGAATTTTGAAATAAACAATAGTCTAAAGTACACTGTATATTCTTACTGCAGAATTCGTGCAAAAAAAGAAGAGTGTAACGTAAATAATGACGAAGTGTCTAGATCTATATATTCAAGATCAGCTTAGTGTTCGTTTGGCTGATAGACAATAATATTCTAATTTTTAGTACATTCACACATAAGGACTTTCACATTAAGCGTTAAGTTCAAAACCACACGTTTTTTTGTTCTTTACTAAAGCATCCCCGAGTCTACAAATATTGCGAAGAATATTTTGAGCTTTCAATTAAACGTAAAATATTCGAAAGGGATTCAGCCTAATCAAGAGTAACATGTTGTTGTTTTTTTCCATTAGCAGACTGTTTACTTTCTTATTGATCTTAATACTATGGTAAAATACTAAGATTAATAGGTTTGTAGTAGGAATAGATAATATTCATGAATGTTTATATTATTATTATGTACATACAATATACTCTCATTTTAAATTCGAGTTGTGATATTTATAAAGGTGACAATACTCTCTATCTTCTATTATATGCATCCCTGTTTTACACAAATTTTGAATAAAAAAAACATCTTATATGCTGTTTGATTCATTATACAACATGTGCTACATAATGTTGTCATATACAATACTGTGATGTGAAAATAATATCTTTGGATTACTAATAAAACATAGTAATTCGTATTTGGATGATTCATTAATCTATTCCAAGTCGAGTGCAATTCTATTATGTTATTGAAATAAAGCTTCAGGGAATAGCGAACTCTGACAGATTCATCAATATTTGGCAATCGTATGATGTTTACATTTTTAATTAGTTACCTACTACTCAAGACTCTCAAAATAACTCAGTGATATTCTATTTTAATTATCGAGTTAGAGTCATTTTATCAAGGGGGAAAAAACTCATTCGGGCATTCCCTGATATTTCTAGTCGTTCTCAGCCATTCGCAACCATTCCAAAATATTCCAAACTATTCTAAAATTTTCTCAAATAGGGATGGACCATTTTTCTAAATGAGACTTTGAAGTAGTGTCAGTTGACATGAAACTTAAGATGTTTTTTCTTCTTAACACTTCGTACTTGTAATCTATTGCTAATTGGTGATATTGAACGTAATTTTAAATTAATGTAAATGGTCCACCCCTACTCTTATGTAGTGTTATTTTTCATAAATAACTGTATCTGTCTTTAGTACCTTGTCATTTTCTAATGGTTATAACTCTTCATTGAAGTCGATTTACATAATGTTAAACTTAGTTAACACATATTCACAAGTAGTGGCCTTAATCATTGAAAATCAATAGATTTTCATTGATTGAAAACTACGCATTATCCGAATTCAAATACATAAAGAATATGAATGAAATGGAAAAAATTCATTTGAGATGCGGAGTACTTTTACTCTAAATGTACAGCAGGAATTTTATCCCTAGGTCCCGAAAAACATTTTGCTTTTCTTGAGCAAAGTGATTGTATCTTTTTGATGATCAATTTTCAAAAAAGTTGGGAACTCTCCTTAACTCTGACTAATTTTGTAACAATCCTCTGATCAATCACTTAGTGCATTGAAAGTCTTGCCCTCATCTAACCTTGGCAGCCTGTGATATTCGTGACTCCGAATTATTCTAAATCATCTCCTTTTGTCCATACTGAATGACTATTTTTCTATAACATTCAAGTAACTTTCACGGATAAGAAAAATCATATAAAGCAGACTAGTTACATGAATTGTTTACATTCAATTTGATTTCAATAGTATTCAGTTAACTCGGAAAAAAAGGCATTTAGTAGTATTATTTAAATAGTCACCTAGCTGAGCGACCAGTCGAATTCTTTTATTACATATTTTCCTTTATGCTTGGAATCAATTTTCTAAACACTTTGTCTATTTTGCTCTTTGCAATAACTAATATATCTATGTATGCACATTAAATCGAAAAAGTACATTTTTGTCAAAGTACTGACTATAGTGAGTTTCCCAGAGTGAACCCCACGGATTCCAATGAACTTACATCCATGATTCTGCACGATGTTATAGCAAAAACACCAAAAGACTTTGAATGCATAGCACTTTCTTGAAAACTGATGCTCATTTTTCAGATTTTCTGTTTTTTAGAGTTCCCAGAAAAAGAAAAAATAATCGCATTTTGCTCAGAAAGGGCGAGAGCGGATAAGACCATTTGGCGGCCCCTCTCAGATTTTAATTATTTCTATCAGTTATTAATCAGGGATCATTCTCGATCACTCTTTTCAACTTTGTTTACCGAAAGTTGACATTGACGATTTTTTTGCCTGGGGTACCCCACAGGTATCATCGAAAACAATATTTGTTTTTTCACGAGTCAAAGCCAGATGTAGTCGTCACCACTCGTTTGATCCTATATTTTTCGTTATTTGGGCCCTCATCGAATAGCCACAGGATGAAATTGAGTGCAAAATAATTTCCTCTAACTCATAAGTTGGAGTTCTCTTCGAATCTAAACTATTTACATCGAAAAAATCTTACGCATGGAAAAAATATAGGGATTCCGGGACAAAATTTGAACCCTGCTCATCATGTTTAACTACCTAGATAATGAAGAAAATCTTGCTGCAACGTCAAATTTGAATCATAAGTGTGTTTTTTGAAGCTCTGTCGACTGGAGATAAGACTGAAGATCTTTAAAATATTACAAAAGTTGTGCAACAGGGTGAAAAGTTAAGAATAATAATAGTTTCTATAAAATTGCTGTAGGAGACCACCACCACTAAAATATATAAGATCATGAAATCAACAGATATATAGTCCATCTTGTACAGCTTAATGAACTGTACACACAGTAAAAAAATTATGGATCTCTGCTCTTTCTTTCAACTCACAATTTCGCTTCACAAAATGTACGAGTCGTTGCAAGAAGGTAAAATTTCACATAAACTTTTAAATCGAAAGAAAGCTGAGATCCATAATTTTTTTATTGTATATACGGTTGATTAAGCGTTGCAAGATGGGCTACATATATAATCGTAGTTGTGGTTCCCTACAGCAATTTTATAGAAATGATTAGTATTCTTAACTTTTCATCCTCTTGTACAACTTCGGAAGCAACGTAGTTTTGAGACTTCTAATTACGATATTCGTAATCAGTACCTTGAAATCTACAATTACATCTGGCTTTGGCCTTATCCGCCATCCTCCTTTTGTTAATACATAGGCCGACTGAGAGGGCTGCGCAAATACGGATACAACTTGTATCGGTTTGTATCGGATTTTGTATATCACTGTAACGACCCATATACCCCAAAAAAACCTAGAATTCTAGAATTCTAGGCTTTTTTTTTGGGGGGTGGGGGGCGGTATATGGGTCGTTACGTTGATATACAAACCCGATACATGCCGATACAAACTATTCAAAGTGAATAGATAATCGTTAAAGAGATTAAATGCTCATTTGTATTTAAAATCGCTATACAATTTTTATTCGTACTTGCGCACCTCTGCCGACTGAACACTAAAACAACACGGAAATTTTAGCAATAACAAATGTGTTCTTCGAAATATACTCATTTTTTGAAGAATAGGTCCTTTTTTCAAAAACACTAGACAATCGTGCTTTTTTGAAGGAATATATTTAAAAGAACATATTTATTATTGCTAAAATTTCCATAGCGTTTAGTGTTTAGTCTGTCTATTTATTAACAAATTTTTGAATCAAAATTTGTTTATTTCACTTTCTGATAATTCAAAGAAAAGGAAAAAACCTGAAAATGCGTATACCATTTGAAGAAAGCACTACACACTGAAAATAGTGCAATATTTTCACTAGAGAACATCGTGCAGTATCCATGGACAAAAATTCATTGGAATCTATGGGGATCAGCTTGGGAGGCTCAATCGTGAATTGATTCTATTAAAATATTATTTTATCAACGTAATGATAGATCTCGTTATTAGTAATTGCTTGTAATTATGACTATGGCAAATGTTCATGTGTGCCAGTAACAACATAACGTGACGAAGATGAATAAAGTCTGATACATATTGGAAAACAATTATGCTATTTTCAACAGGCTTCCTTTAGTCAGAGCACTTCGACAATAGTGATAATCATGTTTCTAATGAATTTTTAAGTTTTTGCATAGCTTGAACTACGTCAAGACACTGATTCAAAGCGATTGATTGAAAGTCATTTCGAGTTATTTCTAGCCATTCCAATCCATTCGTGTCCATTCCTAGTGATTCCTAGTCATTCTAATGACTCGAAATGAGCCTTTTCCTCCTTGAATTTTATGCTTCATGAATATTTTGTATGAGAAAATAGCGGCAGCTAATCATCCTGAAAAAATTGCATGCTGTTAGAACTCTGAAACAGAACAACACTTATCTATTGACAGCAGCACTTTAAATGTGTTTTCATAAAAAAATTAATTCAGTTAATTTTTTCTGCTTAGTGTCCTGTTGCTAATAACAAATTTCCAGATAATTTCTGTAAAGAAAATCATTCTCAAACAGCCTGTCATTAAGCGGTTCCCTTAACTTCGGAAAGCAATCAGATCGTCCGCATACTCACACACGTAAAAAGTTATATTAACGAGCCGAAATGATATTACGCAGAGTTAATGAAAAAATTATGTTTAAAACTAGAATTTTTGATGAAAAGAGAAAAATGCTTGTAATACTTAATATATTTAAACAGCAAATTTAAAAAAAACTTTTTTTTACATCAATTCACATATGTCTTTGATAGAAAGACGCATATACCGAAGAACCGAATCATCAAAAGAAACTGAGTATGAGGGGAAAAGGATGCACTAGATATATGAATAATGCGTGCCAGTTCATTATCAATATTAAGATGTCCTTTTGCTTTGGAGTTAAAGAAAAAGTATAATTTTCCGTAATTAAACAACAAGGAAAAGCGAACAATATAAGTTGAACCACTCATTGCTAATACATTATGGTCTCGACAGAAATAGATACTGGAAAATAATAAAAAGGTGTATTTTTGGAAGTTTTATTTTTAATTAGATAAATACTTCTTTTCGTGTAATTGCGCGGAAGCATACTAGGAAAAATCTAACTTCCGTTTATTAATACCATTATATTTGGCCTAATAACTTTCTCGGATGTGTACACATATTATTACATTGATGAAATTGTATTTTCAGAGAAATAATAACTCACTGATGATACAGAAAACTGTTTTGGCTATACGTCTCTCCACATTTTGTTTCCGACGCCCAGCTTTCGGTGTAGTTGCCATTTTATTCCATGCCATTGTTTTCTGATGTGTCTTACGCACCTTATTTTGATATATACATATTTTATATTTTACTATAGAAACAAACAATAGATTAAACTTACTTTTAGATAAATACATGTGTTGCAATAAACCATAACAATCAATGGTATAATATAACCAAAAACAAACATGAGAATATTGTAACTCATGACATTAAATGATCGCTCTTGCCAACATATCGAGCAAGTTGTTAGTGCACCTTCTAGTTTATAATTATTCCTAAACAGAACAAATTAAATATTCGAATCGCTTATCGATCTAGAACAAGTTTATTTCATAGTAATTTGTGTTTTCTTAGCTCGCAATCTGAAGTTCGAGACAATCCTTTTCTTGTATGATTGTTGAAATTCGTGTCTAGACATCCATTTTGTAGACAAAGAAATGCTTCAAAACTTTCAATTAGCAATAGGTTGAAATAGGAAGTCAAATTAAGCAATCTAGATTATTTATTTTGAGAGAAAAAAATACGGTTTCCATTATGTCATTTTAAACACTTTCTCTAAAAATATAGTTTATATGCTTAATTAACAAGAAAATTTTTGTTTTTATCAAAGGCCATTTTACTCATTTTGTCTTATCCTAGGGGGAACAAACTGATTTCCAGGCATAGAAATCACTAGAAATCATCATATATTAAAGATGTGAATAACGATTCAGCTATTAGAAATTACAAGAAACAAATGTAAATAAATGTAAATTACAGAAATTCTCGAACATATAGTGAAAGAAAATATTGATTTCTCATAATTTTTCAACATTTCTAAACGTTTCCAATGATTTCTGCTGGTTTGCAATGATCATATAAAAATTGATTTCCAGTAATAGAAATCACTGGAAATCAAGAAATCAGTTTGTTCCCCCTTGATCTTATCCATATATAAATTTTAGTTAGTTTTATTTCTCATGGGAGTTACAAAACATCTTCAAAATGATATAAGCAACAAAGTGAAAGATAATACTTAGGTTTTTATAATATGAAAAACGGATATTGTCCTTTATAAATTTTAGGACAAGGAAAAAACATTCTATAGTAAATCATTTTATTAAATTTGGGCTATTCTCTTCATTTTCTGGATCTCGATATATAGTTGTATGTAATATAGCAATTTCCTACTTACCAACCAAATACAGGTGTTATTGCCCAAAATAAACCAGCAATTACAGACAAAAATACAGATATATAAGCAGTTTGGAAAGTAACATATTGTGCTTTTCCTGGTTTAACAATTTTCCAATACCTTCGAAATAGTTAACGTATAATCTTATTATCGAATTTATTTCTCAAACCTGTTCAATGATAGAGCAGTTAATATATAGAGTCCAACCATGCCAACAAAATAAGTAATAAAACCTTCATAATAGCATAGATATTTACCATATAACCATCTAAATCGAAAGTTAATGTGATTAAAATAAAAACCAAAATTATATTACCGGCAAGAAAGATTCGATGTGAGAGTTAAAGGAATACCAAGCATAGCATCTAATAAATCAGTAAAACATAAAGCAATAATAAAGATATCAATCGGTGATCGACGATGTTTATTTTGAAGAAGGAAAACAATAATAATTGCATTAAGACCAACGCCACAAATAAACGTAAAACATAAATAAACGCCAATCCATTTTAAAATTTGACAAGATGCTAGTGCAGGTTGCGTCCATTCGTTATGCGATAAATTCAAAAATAGTGGACTCAACATTGCTAATCTATTTTTATTTTTTCCTAATGAAAATAAAAAGTAAATTCGAATTAGGAGAACTTTCTATGCTTCTTTGTTCGCGTACACTTACTAATTTCTTAGAAAAAGAAAAGAAAAACGATTTATCCAGTAAACCTGTATCAGGATTTTTTCTACATGAGTAAGTAGATGTTAGCAAGTTCGAACAATCTCTTACATGCATCTATGGAAATAAAATGAATTCTGAGATTACGTGAGAGTATATATAGGCCTGAAGCTAGTCTATCAGCATTTCAACATTTTGTTATCGTTTTGAACGAAGCTTTCCCCAAAAGATTTTCCGTCACTTAGCCTGCGAAACTATCGGGATATATATACGTCGTGTCGAAATTACAACTTCGACAAGAAAAATTGTCCATCAAAGTTGTAACTTTGGCTAACAGTGTAACTTCGACACGACATACATATATATATAGAAAATATAGAAGTAAAAACAATTTCTTTCTCAAGAATAGTTGTGCCTATATAGCGTGTTCGCAACTTTCCATCACGTGTTCATTAAATTTATGTTTATTATTTCTTTTTGGCTAGTAAATTATTTATAAGATGTTTCAATGAACTATTTCCGGCCCATAGAAATGTACTTAACTTAACTTCAAAAAAATATAAATAGCATCATTTTAATATTAATTTAAAATAGGTCCACTCTCTAGACATAACGCCTATGTAAATCAAATTTATCTTGCGATTTTCACTTAATTCTAAGCAGCGCTGGAACCAGTCCGGCCGGATCGGTTCAGAAAGTCAACCGAGCCGTTAAATACCGGAAAATCATCGGCTGCAATTTTAAAGTAACTATCTTCATTAGCTTTATTTTTGTTAAAAAGATGTTTTATGAATATTTCTATGAAGTAGATATAATGAAATTGTGCTATCAATATATATATATATATAGAAAGTCTTACGAAAGTGTTGATGATCCAATATTTTGTGTAGTTTAGAAGGAATATTTGATTGTCATCCTAAACACAAGCAATACATCTCATTTTCTTTCACAGAAAAGAGAAATCAACGAAAGTGCGACGGCAGATCAATTGGATTGGCCGCTGCACTCTATTTTATTGACAGTGTTATTTTTTTATCATACACAGTTGTAACAAGATGATTTGATAATAAAATTTGAAACGTCTATATTTTATTTTCTACAGATTTGTTGATAGCTTTAATCATATTTCATCAAGAATGTAAATTCTCTTAAGTATTTTTTCAAATACTTTTCCTTAGAAGCTTGATCGGAAAATTTAGAGTATTCAGCTATCAGCATTTATAATGTAAGGAGCTGAGTCATAAGATTTGAATAGGCCTATTTAACCATTAACTAATTGATATCATTGCTGGAACTCTATCAGTTTTTATCGTATTTTGGCTATCTGAAACAATTTTCAAGGAATTAACTCCATCAGTTGTTGTCCGATTTGTCGGAGTTTCACCGGTTCGAGAGTAATTTATGTCCGGTCGGTTTACCGGCCGGACAGGGCCCGTTTATGGATTTCTTACCGGTTCCAGCTCTGGTCTGGTCTGACGCCGACACTTTTATTCATGTCAGGTTATATTAAGCAAATTGTATACAAAAACAAGGCTGAAAGCCTAGCTCACCTCAAAATGTCAATTAACTTGTCACAACGACCTTTTTAGAGTTCGATCTGCGAGATAAAGTTTGTCAAGCTGCATCCGATTGATCTCAACAGTGTATTAGTACCCGATTGAGACTAAGTAGTTTGAAGATTTGAGTTAATTTATTCCAAATGATTAATTTATTCCAGATGATTAATTTATATCGGTCAATTTTGTCTTGGTTAAAGCATTTTTGTAATATTGTGAGATTAGAAATGAAGCAAGATTTATTTGTCACTATATGTACACTTTCTACGTATAAAAATGTTATCAAAATTATTAGAGTCTGTGATGAACTTCAAATTACTACTGAAAAATATTGTTCTTATTGGAAAAAAATCTCTGAATTTTCTTTTACTAAAGAAAGCAATTTGTTCTTTTGAGTGAAACAGAATGGAGATATTCAAACTTTTTCTTCTTATACTCTACCTTCTATTATTAGACAAATTTTTATTTCACGGTGAATATATTAGAGAATATTATTGATAGCCATATAAAATCAACTTGAATTTGAAAAAAGAAACGAGACTAGTCAAATCTAGTATTTCATGAAAGAATAAAAAGTTCATTATCACCTTTTCAATTAGCTAATTCATTATTTTTTTTATGAATAATTAAATCCAAACCAGAGTCATCTACAAATTTAATACTGATTATTGTCTCCTATTGGATATGCACGACATTATATCATGAGTAATGTACACATAAAAACAAGAGCACGTAGGCTCATGACGAATATTTGACGTCAATGAATTTGTCATGATTTGATCCTGACAAATATGAAAACGTCGTCAATTTCAAAACGAAAAATAAAATGTGTATTCTTCATAATGAGGCTTATTCATGTATAGATTAGTAGCAATATGATGTGTAAGAAACACGAATTAGATGACTTGAATATGTCAACAATGGCTTTCGTCATGAAATTAACTAGAAAAACAATTATGTCGTATCTGAAATTACTTCAATGAAATTATGAAACGAAAATTAAAATCAGAAAATATGACTATATTTGTTCAATAACTTATCTATTTAATTATTTTCGAGAATGTACGTATTTAGATGAATCTTTGCATTTAGAGAAATCTTTGCATTTAGAGAAAAATAAATTGATTGAAATATATATAATTGATAAAATTTTCTTTAGAACATAATGTTTATTTCTTTTCTTTGTAGGGATAAAGAATCTTTGGCAATCAATGTTCTGACAATCTGTATATGATATGTACACAATCAATAGTCAAATACTATATCAATGTTTTAGTTCATTTTGTTTAATGATTTTAACTTTGTATTCAATGGAACAAAGCTTCCAAAGAGAAAATTTCAGCAAAATGTGATGTTATTTATAGGATTTATCATTGAAGGCTGCAAAGAAAAAGATAGATTTTAAATTTATACTACCAAGTATCAATATACTAGTAGACTTGTGTCTCTCATAAGTTTCTATTGCAAACTATATCAGAATGAATTCAACCAATGGCACATTCTTATTACAAACTAACTTAAATATTTATTTAAAATGGTATGATCAAAAAGTGATTCGTCTATTTTAAGCTATATTATTGCGACTGTAGCATTGATTTTATATTGCGTACGTGCCATCTTACTAAATGGCAGCCATCATGGCTAATAATGGTACTTCTGAATCAGAAGAATCATTAAAAACATATGCTAGATTGCTTAAAAATCCCATGAAACGCATTCATCTCCACTAAATTTAAATAAGTTGTTGTGTTGAATGATTAATTTATAGAATTCTCATAGATTTCCCTCCCCCAACAAGGTAAACCATAGTATGAAGTATTTAAATATCAATATGCGCGCAGTAATACACGTGTGCACACAGACACCTCCGCTAGCAAAATATTACCAACCACGCATTTTTTATTATTAATATCGACTCATGTAATTCATTTTTTTCCTCAAAAGAAAAGGAGTCGTAGAAAAGACAAAAACGAAAAAAAATGTTCTTCTATTTTGCCGCTATTTATGGTGCATGACGTGAAAATGCTGTCAGAAGCATAAGAAAACACGACTATGACATATAAATACGTCAATCGCTTTTTTCCTTTCAAAGCATGTGTTGTGACGCAGCTTTCTTTTTTAAACGGGCGTTTTACAGAACGGAAAAAGGTTTTTTTTGGTAACAATTTCTATAAAAGACCCAGCCGATGAATACTCGAACAATAACATCGTCGTACGCGATCAGGTTCTGTTATCAATTGATTCACTAGTTATGTGTATGCAAAATGTACATCAAAAAAATCAGAATTCTACATTGAATGTTTCAATGATTAAAACTGAAGAATGGCCACCAACCGTAACAGTATATCCAATAAGTTCGTCAGAAAGTAGTCTCACGTCTGTTGATGATAATGATATAATTGCGTTTGGTCCAATTAACGTAAAACGACGTAGAAAACCAGCACCGACACTAGCTACTGGTCGTAGGTCCAAGTATGAGATTTTAACTCCTGAAGAAGCAAATAAACGTGATATAAGACGTGCACGTAATCGTGCTGCTGCTGAACGAGTGCGTATCAATCGACTTAATGTTGAACAACAATTACAAGGGAAAATTGATGAATTAGAAAATCAAGAACAAAATTTACTCGATATTATAGAATTGCTCCAATCTCAAAAGCTTCAATTAGAGACGCGACTTGTCACGCACGACAAGCTATGTTCAAGTAGATCTTTACCGAACGCGCAAAATTATCTCATACCTACAGTTCTCTCAACTAGTGCTCCTACATCGGCACCATCTCAACAAGTATCTTCATTTTGTTTCGAAGATTTATTTTCTGATTCACCGACTCCTGCACAAACTCAGCCAGATAATCTATCAAATTTATTACCAACTTTGATGCCCATCGATGAACTCGACATATTTTTGATGGATATATGTGAATGATACTATTATCTCAATGCTTTCCACTTTTTATCATGTTAATATGCTATGAAATAATTCTTTGTATTTACAAAATCTTTTTGTGCCTTTGTATTCGACCAGGTTTGTTGTTAGAAAAAATGATATTTTACTAGTTATGCAAAAAAAACGAATCAAAAGTAACTGTCGTTTTTCTTCTCTTTCAACAAGCTCTAATCGATGCATCTTTATGTGTAATATTTTCAATTTTTTAAATATTTAGATTTGATTAAAATATTATTTTTCATTTTGAAGAAAAAAAAAAAAAACGTTAACCAGTGAAATAATAAACAAAATTGACAAGTAGAAAACTAAAGAAACGTTTTGAGTGACAACAGCAAAGAAGTTGATTGGTTTTGAGAGGTTTACTTTTTGCTCTTACTCTCCTTGAAAACCAGCGTTAGTGTTATTACATCTCTATAGCCCATTAATTTTTACCTACAGGGCGACTTACAGACGATTCGTTTCTTTCTTTTCGATATTTTATACAACCGATTTCATGTCATGAAATACATTTTGTCCTAAACTATTTCTCAAATAGAAGAAAAAATAAAATACGAAAGTAAATGTGCATATTTTACTTATATTAAAATAGATATCCCTGATCTGGTTCATTTATCATCAATAGGAAATATGTTAATTATTAATTGAAAAAAAATACTTGTACTGATAATAACGAGTACACTCTTAATGTAACATATTACGAAACACCTGAGATATTTACAATATGAATAAATAGTTAGTGTGATGTTAACCTTGTATTTTAAAATGTTAAATGAAAGAGAAAGAAGAACTTGTATGGAATCTGTTGACATAAAGAGAAAAGTCAACCGTAAAATGGTCACTTGAATAAATTGTAAATATATATTATTAATTAATATTATTGTTCTTCAACTATTATATTCGTAATTTTAACATAAATTATTATCGATATATTTCTGTGATCTTCTATGGCATATCTATCCACGTTCCAAATGAATTCAGAAAAGAAACAAGTCTAAAGAAACGAACAGTCTGACATCTATATTGAAATGAATATGCCCTGCATGCCATATACCTCAAAGTTTCTTTTTTCTCTCTCAATGCTAGGTCTAACTGACATTGATCAATGACAAATTTGAAAAGTGAAAGAACGCCAGATTTCTCTTATGTAAGAATGTTTTTGTAACTGATTCAACTACTTGAGAAAAATATTTCTTGATTGGATACTTTGATTGAATGAGAAGTATTTTTCAATAGCACTGTTGAAAAACAAAGCATTTTTTTTTCATCAAGGTTGTTTTTACCGCAATTTGAGAAAAGGTCAATTATTTTCAGAGAAAAACCCGGCAAGATAAATCTCTTCAACACGATTCAGTTTTTATAAGTATGTATATTTATTAATAAATATTATTAACAATGTACAATTTATTTAAAACTGAAATTATCATTATTTTTTGTAGGTAAAAGTCTAAACATCACTATAAGTATAATTTCGAAGGTCTTTTCATCAACCACAGTATTCATCAACCAGAAACTGATTATTTTAAGAAATCTTCTTGTACAGATTTCATAACATAAATAGCTTCACCAAAGAAATTTATCTACAGATGTTTACTTAATGATGCAATGGTTTCAGTCATTTAGAAATCAATTTAATATTTGTCTCAAATGAATGACAATTAAAGATTTTTAGTTATGAATGATTTATACTTTTATGAATGAATGTGATTATAAGTAATATTAAGATGAAAGCTCAATTGTAACAATAGAGCGTTCGTCTCATGTGAATTGACATTTAATTGAATCATGGAAAATAGCTTCAAAAAAGAGTGCCACTTTAGTACAACAAATACGTTGATAGATCATGAATAAGAATCAAAGCAACAATAGAAATTAGAATGAGAAAACGAGATAATAATACTTACAAATACAAGAAAAATGAAGTTCATTAAACATGAATATAATTGAATTATGGAGTTTCAAAAGAAGTAAAATATTTAACAATGATAAATATCCACAGAAAATTTATTTATTCCATTGATGTACAAGTAGTCTAAAAACTCTCTTTAGTGGAATAGTTTTATTTTCGATTGATAAATGAAATGCACTTAACAAAATTCCCCTGCATTTGTATTCAGCTATTAGATACCTAATAAAATATATGTGCCGATTTTGTATCTTATCAAAATATAGAGAAGAAATGCTCGCCTAAAAGTTTAGCTTATTAACTTGACTTTGAAAAGTATATAGTGAAAACACAACGCCAACATAATTATCTACGTACGTCGAACCTTTGTGAGTTCTTTCAAATAAAAATACACTGTAATCAGACTGTCTAGTTTGAAAGTGTCATTTAACTTTATTAAAAAAATAACTCAAGTTACTCTTTGATTGGATGAAAATTTGCAGACATGACTACGACCTGGTTGGATGCTTCTCGTAAATCTTTTTAAATTATTGAAACGACCACAAACAGTCGCATTATCCCATTAAATTATATGCATCCTATTTGCTATAATTCCGAAAGTCACGCCAGTCGATTATTGCATTTTTCTATTTACTCAACACTAGAAAGAACGCTCTATGTTACATTTTCTAACTTCATATGAAATACAAGTTTATTAATATCTATGATTTCATTTGAAGAGACTTTTTTTTCTAAAATATGAATTATTTAATCTAATAGACTGGAAAGGAATTCTAATAAATTATTCTTTTAATCGGCATTAACTTCTCATAGAACTTCGCTTGTTGTAATTAGAAAAGAAATCAGACGTTTAGTGTGCATTTTTTTTCTATTCATATATCGATTATATTATAAACATTATTTATAATTTTCATAAAATTTCAATATTAAAATTCTAAAGTGATCTTATCATAAAAATAAAGAATAATTATTGAATGCTTCACAATCGTCCAATAAGTTTAATATCGTTCTTTCAAAGGCACATGTAAAATCGTAGTTAACATGCTTGCCGAAACTCTTGCGTGTGTATCTAAAAATACATGCTATTTCACATTAACATGAACATCATTTGAATATTTATTATATGGTAACGCGACGTTAGTGTCGCCAACCCTCTACTAAAAGGGATTCAGTCATGTAGAACGTAGCTATCCAAAATTATCTAGCTGCGAGACTTCATATTTTATAGCTACGAAATGATTTTCAGGAAAAAAGAGATTGATAACCGAGCATCAATAGAAAACTTGCTTGGAAGAATCACCAAGGAAATGTCATTTAAGTACTACTTACTAATGCTAGATGCCAACATTGAAGTTAAGTGCACCCAATCTGCTACTCGGGTTGAATTCGTACGGCAGGAAAACACTCGAAATCACTGGAACGTGGAAGCAGTGTTCAGGTCGGAATTTTCCCTGTGCTTTCAGGCTGGAACTGATTGGAAAATCACTGGAAAACAACCGCAAAATTCCGGACGGGACACTGCTTCCGATTTCCGCGATTTACAGTGCTTTCCTGCAGGATACGGTGGTTTTTCTCGCATTTTCCTGCCGGTTCCCATAGTATCCGTTCTCCGGAATCATTGACTTGGGTACCCTAATCCATTCTCCCCCCGACGACTCCCCGACGACTTTATTTGGGGGCTCCCGGAGATTTCTCCGGGGAGAATTGCTGAAACTTTTAAATTTTAAAAAATTAAGAAGAATTTATTAGTAATTAGATATTTCTTCCATTATGACCGTATAACTCCCCGGGGAGTCCCCGCAAAAGAACAAAATCCCTAAGGATTTCCTGTCGTGAGTCCCCGGGGATTTGTCAGGGAACTTCCTGGGAATTCTTATAGGGAGAGGTGACTAGGGGTACAACTCAAGCTATGCTCCGAAAAATTTCGATCACCTTGATAACGGAGTGAAGAAAAATATCCATTTAAGAGAGCTACGATCGAAATACTCTATTTTAGTAAAGTTACAACTCAAATTGATCTGTGGACTAGATATTTAACATGAATCAACACGAGTAGATCAGAGATCAAATCAAACTAACTTTTTCTAACTCGATTTCGATTAGCTTTGTCCTGATTTTTGCTCAAACTCATGTAGATTCATTTTATTTTCGTACCTTTTCGGTCTCTAATGTATATATGCATTTCTGGGTACAGGTTCACAGATACAAAAATCGAACACACAAATGTTTTGAATCAAACCCAGTCGCAATCAGGAAAAGCTAAACTTTTTAAGATATTCGCGACAAATATAAATTTCAAATATTTCACAATCTGTCTTCGGAAGAACGTCAAGGCATCTACCATATTCGAAAATTGTTTCAACTTTTCTGATCGAAACAACTTATAACTATTCTATAAGTCTGCAAGACCTGCAGTCTTCCCAGGTCGAATATTCCGGCCACCGGATCCCGTAGGATACTCCAGGGAATATGCTGGAAAGTCACCATATCCAGCAGGAAAACACGGGAAATCGCTGGAACATGGAAGCAGCATTCCGGTCAAAAATACGGTCGGTCTTTTCCCGAGAATTCCTGCCAAGTTACGGTGGTTTACGATCAATTCCTGCCGGAAAGCACCGGAAAAAATGCAAAAAATTTCCAACCGGAATGCTGCTTCCTCAAAATCAAGGGAACTATCCGGGACCGGCCGTTCCCAGGCCGGATCGCTCGACCTGGGTTATAATGACAACAGCTTTTTAACTGAGCGGCTAGTCCCCTCCAATAGTTTTGTTTCATGTATGCGGTGAACGTGATCCTTTTAAATGCTGCATGATTGATTGAAAGCTTCGCTTCATTCTATAATTATTAGATGAAAACAAAGAAAATTTTCAAGAAACCCGAAAACAACTGTTGTGAGACTAATTTAATTCAGTTTCATCTGCATATACACATGCGATAAATTCCTCACAATTTAGAGAAGAATAAGACAAGATTCTCGAGTACTTATACAGTTTGCGTACGTTCGTAGATGCGCTAATCTAAAATTCTGGGGTTAAGCTTGAATAAATTCTTCGTGCTACAATAAAAGTTGACATATCAATAATAAACTGAAGACTGTGAAAAAAGTCTTCAATATCTTAGTGTTTATACACAAAATACAGTCATGAAGTTATGTTCAACTGTTTGATAAAAAAGACCTTAGTGCAGCATTCTCCATAACCCATATATGTCAAAGTTGAAACTTGAATTCAATTTTCAAATTTTAAACCAATAGCATTCTGAAGAATCGTGACTCTCACATATATCGCTATGAGTTGAAAATTGAAATGTTCTATTTTCAACTGAATTCAAGTTTCAAGTTTAACACTGCTGCCATAGCCATGTTTGCTTAAATAATAATTTTTTTCTCAAGCAAAGAAAGATCATTAAGCATTTAATATTCAATCCAGCGATAGCCGTATTCTTATTTGAAGCAACTTTATTTATGGCATGGATTTAGATTATCAGTAAAATAGATCGTATGATCAGTAAGAAAAAAGATTACGAAATCTGTTGATTGAATGAATGATCAGTTATATACTAAAGTATCAGTTGTTAAATTAAAAGTTATGTAATAAAATTGTAATATTAGTCAATAAAATAGAGTAACAGTTACTTAAAGCAAACAATAAGTAAAGAAGTCAAAAAGTAGAGCATCCAGAATTTTGGTAATATGACACTCGCCAATACTGGCGAAACTCCACCACATTTTCAATTATTAGAGCAAACGATATTGATATATGATATGGACTCTTCACAAATCCCATACAGTTTATCTTATGTTCTGGCCAACTTGACGAACGTACAGCAATTTTTGATCCAAAGTTGAATGATTCAAAGCCTGTCGTTAGTATAGTGAATTGCTCGAGTTGACTCTCGTGAATATTGGCGAATGTCCATATATGCCCTTCGCTAATATTGCCGAAAGTTGGGTCGACGTTCGCCAATAAACCCCCTGGACTCCTGTCAATAATTGGTGAAAATTATATTGGTGGAGATTGAGTATCCGAAAAAGTACACCAAAGTGATTTAGGGTGGGTTATGGCTTTGGCTGAATTTGAAGAAATGATTTTAGTGGACACAAACAACTGCAATCCCCACTCACTCACCATCATATCACATCCACACCCACCCTTTTTTTCTTTTACTTATCAAATTTCCTTTTTTTACTGGTACAAATGATATTTTTTTACTGCTATTTTATATAATAAACTGATCACTCTCATTATTTACTGTCCTAGTGAATGTACTCACCCAGCGAGTACTCAAAAGCACTCGCGCTAGAAAATGCCCTGGGAACTCACGAGTGTAACGAACAACTAGATTGGATTAGCTTGTGCCACTCTCGGCAAAGATGTTTATTAGGCTACTTCAAGTTATCCAGAGTGTAACGACAAAACTAGAGAGTGTCGCCTATGCCCATCGGCATGATGGTGTATTGTGTCATCTGACATCTCCAGAGTGTAGCAACTTCATACATGACGCACGTATATATAGGAGAGAGATACATTAGAACAATGGAAAGAGAACAGAAAGAGAAGGAAGGAGAATCATCGAAGCGTGCCATCAATATCGGCACAACGAGTACTCGTGGATTTAATTACTCATCAGTAGTACTCTGGTGGGTTTTTATAAAATGCTCAGATATCTATATTTTGTTCTGCATCTTTCTGATGCGCTCAATTTATTTTATTTAAAAACTGATGATAGAACAGTGACGTGCATGATAGGAATTTCAGAAACGAATTGTTTTATTATCTTAAAAATGCTTTTTAATTAGGACGTAGAGATAAAACATTTATCAACAGAATGCGAGAAAAACTAAATAAAAATTTCTATTGAAAACATTACAACATATGTAAACGCAAACATAAGCACAAATGAGAAAAAAATTATGGATCGAATTAAGATACGCGATAACAATACACATTCATTTTATATCGTTACAAAAAACACGAACATTTTAAATCGAAAACTACTATCGTTAAGTAACAAATAAAAAATCGATGAACTGTCTTCTGTATGATAAATGTATCTTCAGAATATTGAATTTTATAAGTTTGTGAAAAAAATTTCTCATACGCCTTGTTTCATTAATTTTCATAAAAAAATTTTATTTTATCTAAAACGATATTTCATCTTTGATTTAAGCTTTAAAATTTAACAAATAATTTTGTAATTTCAAATAAATATTTGGTCTTACTTGAGACGTGAATAGCTGAAATGAAATGGATTTGTTTTTTCTATTCTTTAAATAGCCAATTGACTACGGCACATGAATGACTAATCACAAAATATGGAGGATGAAATCACTAATAACGTCGTCGATGCTACTCTTAAATGCTGTCGAAATACCTGTCACTCGTCAGTTGCTAGTCATTTAGTTTTACTTTTTCAAAAGCGCATGTGTTCATTCTGTGCAATAGACCTCTGTACAACCCTCTTTGTTTATTAAAACGATGACAAAATCTTTTCGAAAAACTACACTTGAAATCTAATAAATCCGCCCCAAAAACTTTTTGTCAAACCTTATACAAAATCTTTTTTTCCTTAAAAAAGTCACTCTCTCTCCCTAAAAAAACAAACAATTATTTCCTCAAACAGATGTTTTTTACTAAAACAATTGAGGATCAAAAATTTTTGAAAATTTGACGACGGATTCGAGTTCCCCTATCCCGGAAACCTTTCGCCAAAATTATTCCTAGAAATATTGTGAGAATTTAGTTGAATTTGTGCATCTGCTGTCCTATTGAACGAACGACCGGACGAATATAACTCACTTTTTGTATGATCCTCCTTTTAGTAGAGGGAACTTCATTCATGCCTCCTTCAAAAGCTTTTAATCTAATATTCTAAAATATATATAATTATTTCAATGATAATTATCTAGTATATAATAATAAATAGCAGTCCGATGATTAAACAGCAAAATCTCCGCTACAAACTCCCCTACATAATAGAAGCCCATGAGTGGTGTCTCTGTTGCGCAAGCTATAATTTTATAACAAAGCATGACCAGATACCAAATTTTGCGTTATTTGATAAAGAAATGTTCATCCTTTCATTTTTCATCGGTTTCAGTTCATTTTACATGAAGTAAACTTTGATGTTCAACGGAAAAATCTAACCCAGCGGGTGGGCTTCTATTCTGCGAGTGGGATTTAGTCAAAAATAGATAAATTGTTTTGTTTTTATTTCTTCAAAGTTAAAACAGTGGTACTTTTAACAAAATAACGCGGACAACATCAAAGAAAAAGAAAAATATTCAATAGGAAAAAATAGGTTTAAGCCTCGGAACCGTATGACACATCAGAAACAGATAGCGAAGTAGCTGGTGGTATTGGTGAACATTGATTTTCTTCGTTGACTACCATTGAAGTTGGTTGTGTCATTGGTAATGATAGTAGACGTTGTTGATTTGGCTTCGATTGAACTGCATTATTGTTCACGGACACACTGCGCATTGGTATGTTTTGTTTTTTTGAATAACAAATATTATTATTATTTTCTGTTATTGTTAAGTTTGTTTTCATCACTCGTTTAGCTTGTAAATATTGATCATTATTTGTTGATAAGCAACAATAAAAAACATGTTTGAAACTTAAACGAAATATTCCACTTAGAAATGCGTATACGATAGGATTTGTTGCTGAATTAACAAATAAAAGAAATTGTGCTACACTTGATATTGGTAAAAGTATAGGACTTTGTTGAGGTAATAATTCACTTGTTGCTAGCATTTGAAATGCCCAATATGGTGAACAACATAAAATGTGTATGCTTATAACAGCTAAAACTAAAACAGATACTTTTCTTCGTGTACGTGTTGATGTACGTGAACGACGATGTTGTTGAGATACTTTATGTCTTAAACGGCAAACAATTTGTATATAAAAGTATACCATTAAACTGAGTGGCAAAACAAATGTGATTGCTGATGTATACACAACAAATATCATGTAGAGTAAACGTGAGTCAGAAATTGGAAAATTAATAATGCACTGAACTTCTAATGAAGGAGGATTATTTTGAGTCGCTGTAAAAGCTATAATTGGTAGCATTAAAATGAATGAAAGTATCCATGTTAATATTAAAAGTAAATTCGGATTGACACGTGAACGCCATACTATAGATTTAGCTGAATAACAAACCGCTAAATATCGATCGAATGCTAATAAAGCTAATATAATAATCGATGTATATTGATTAACACCTTGAGTTAGAAAAAATAATTTACATGTAAAACCACCAAATATCCATGCACGAGTTATAAGAGATGATGCAAAAAATGGTATACCACTTAAAAAGACAAGATCCGATAAGGCTAAATGTAATAGATATGTATTTGTGACAGTTTTTAATCGACCATAGTTAAGTACAACATAAATAACAAGTAGATTTCCTATGACACCAATGATCATGACAGTTACCAAAAGAATGGGAAAAATAAATAAGAATAAATTATTGCCATCCTTATTTAAATAATTGATGCAATCATATGAACCGTTGCTTGAAGTACAATTACTATCGTAATTCATTTTTTATGAACGAGTACTGCTTTTATTTTGTCTAAAAGAAAGAAAACTTAAATATTCAGAGTATATTTAGAAAATGTCGCCAACATAAAAAAATGGCTAGCTTATTCAAAGGAGTTGACGACTTGTCTGATGAGAGAGGCTTCATAATTCGTGTAAATAACACTATTTCAGACTACTGTTGACTTCACAAAAAAAAACAAATGTTACTTCTCGTCAACTAGAAAAAGAAAATCATATATCTACAGCATTTCTAATTTTCATTTTTCAATTGAAATACTCCATGAATAATATATATATATATACATAGAGAGAGAGAGAGAGAGAGTTGTCAATTCAAATTTGTATTCGATAGCTAAAATATAATCTTATGTACCGTACTTGAAATTTCAATATATCTTACTTTTTTACTATTAAACTAACTAGCTAACTCTGAAAAATGATTTTGTTTGCATAATTTAACTATGATTAATAAATGTTTTTAGAAAACAAGTGATAATTTTCTTAATGTATTACATATTTATCTTTTGATACTACTTTATGCGTAAAAATTTGTTTCATCAAACCAACAATAATAATAAATCGTAGTAATTATGTAGATTATTAAAGTCCTATTACTTGTGAATAAATTAGTGTGTATGAATAAGTCAAAGCAAGAATAGTTTAACTGATTTTTTTTTACATGTCACAATTATTTATCGTTTACTCGGTATACTACATTTATATGAGAAGATGTTTAGTCTATTTTTCTCTTTATTTAATAAGACTATTGTGAAAAGAGAGAAAGAAAAATTAGTGAGAAGAATAAAAATATAATAATGGCTAGAAAAGCATTAGAGATGAGCATCTAAATAATACAAAAAGAGGGATTTACTCACTAATTTTTACTAATTAATACTGTGAAAAAAAGATTCTTAAATTTGCAAGTTTCTTTTTTCTTTAATATTACAGCATGCTTTTAATCATGTCAATTACTAATGTCTGATTACACAGTCACTACTTCTATTTTATGTAGAATTTTATTTCTTTTCCTATTCAAACATCATCTTCAAAGAAATTCTTATGTGTTATAATAATCGTAGATGAAGAATAAAATTGTAGCTCATCGAACTGAGATACGTCTTCTCTCCATGAATATCGTCGATTAGTTCAATTAGATGATGATGCCCATTGTTGACACGATCCAGCATGACGATGAGGAGCATAACTGTTACTACAATTTTCAATACTAACTAGAAAAAAAATGTTTGATCAACAAGCAGATGATTGAAATGGATTGCGAAGAAACTTCGGTGAATAAGAAAGTGATGATTTCATTAAAAAAAACATGAATTATTTATCCGTAGTGGGACCAACAAAAAAAACATTTTGAGCACCCCCAGCAGAAATTTTTCTGCAAGGTGGGAAATGTACGTGGGAGTTCCTTAAAAAAGCTGTATATATTCCTCTTGATATTGCATGATTTGTCTACGATCAAGATATGAGTCTTTTTGCAGAAAAGCAACATGGTTCTTCAGAAGGACCAAGAAGAGGAAATTGGCAACCCTAGTGGCCATAAATGAGACAAAGAAGAAAAATAAATAAGCGTAGAAACCGAGATTCGTTTCATTTGAGAAACTGAGAACAATCGATAAATATGATATAGAATACAGTGGATTGTCCTTCGTATCTAAGTCTGAAAGCATCGAATACTATCAACAACAATACAAGCACTAGTTGTAGAGAGGATGACAACTACTAGACGAAGATAGGGGATGTGTTAACAGTCCTATGAGAGAAAAGAATAAAAACTCTGAGAAAAGAAAAGAAAAATAATGCAAATCATGTATCTATGAGGAGTAACCAACAAGTTACAGTTTATTAACAAAATAAAAAGCAAGTATGAGGAAACAGTTCTATTTTTCTCTATCTCTCTCTTAGAACCTTTATCTCGTCATCAAAGAATAATAGTCTCAGAAAATTAGTTAGATACCGATAAACGGAAAGGCTCTCTTTAAAAGAATTCGTACTCTAAAGTTTTTTTCCTATAAGACCACAGCTTATCTAAGATTTGCTAATCTGTCTGACACTACAATTGTTTCATCCGATGAGCTAAATTCTTTCACGATTGAACCTACACTATTCATGTAGCTTTAGGTTCAAGAACTATAAATATAGATTGTTTTTTTTCCAGTTGTTCGTCTCTACTACAGTTTGGATTAAGATGCATTATGAATAAATATCGATACCAATTGACAAATAACTTTCACGATGTATTTTTTTGCCTTTTGAGTATTTATCTGTTACAACAGAAAATAGAATATACAATATAGACAGTTATATTTTATTTCTTTTTGTTCTTGACAAACGATGCCTAACTCTTTTCTTCCTGAAATCTAATTCATCTTTTTGGCATCAGATTTTACTAACCTACAATTACCTACCCGATGACAAGTAGTATAAAAATCTATTAGAACTATCCCGGTAGGATTAAAGTATGAAACATAATCCAGCTCATGATATTATAAAAAGTAAAAAGGAATTCATCAAAAGTTGTTTTGATGTGCAAATTACTGCCTACTGTTGCAACTTACCGATTGCGAAAGAGGATAATCATAATATAATTAAGTCAGTGTCAAACAAGATTACAAGGTGGTTATATCAAATACAATTGTGTTTCATACCGATCCTACAGGATGCTACAATATTCGGAGTATAACTTTAATGGTTTATTAGTAGAAAAAATACATCCTCAAATGTTTGTCAAGTTTTAGAATAAAGAAGAGGCATTTGTGGTCGTCTGTCACTGCTGTTTTTGTAACATGCTTGCTCTATTTAGATTAGACTTGTATTTCTTTTATTTCAAAACTCTTTCCGGACTTTGTATCATATAGGATAGTCGTTCAAAAACAAACATCTATGAGATTTATGTATTATTACGATCTCTATTCTGTATATATCTTAAAGTGCATCAAGGACAATGTTCATTGATATATATTTATATTGTTTGATTTAGTTACATATAAATTTCGTTTGCTTTTCTTTTTTTTGTGAAAGAAAAACGAAAACTAATAAAACATATACACAAGAAGCAACATGAAAAAAAACTTGAATTCAGAATAAAATTTCTCACACATGCATTGAAAAGAAATACGATTGAAGTATTAGTAAATAGGACAGAAAACACCTTTTCTTTCTTAGTGTGAGCTTATATTACACATATTTGTGTGTGTTCACTTCTTTTTTAAGTTGTAGTTTTTGAAATGTCTATTTGCATATTGAGAACGATAACAAAAACATTAAGACATAGAAGTAATGACTTTGTTCGTTGTCATATGGAAAGTAAGGATTTTTCTCTTGATTTACTTCTGGTTAAACATCACGACTTTCATAAAACAAAATATAACTGGTTTCCGATTGACGACCAAGGTCATGAGAAACGCCATAGAATTCTTCAAAATTGGATGGATCCAGTCGCTATTAGGAGAAGAAACAAACGGGAAATAATGTCAGTTTCATAATGTAAAAGAAAAGAATTCTTACATCGACTGTTTCATCATCAAAAACAAGCCATGAGCCGTCTCGTTTAACAACAGCAATATAATGACCACGATTGGGACCAATACCGCAATGTACAACAAGTGATACTAGATCATAAATACGATCACTATTTGTACAATCTTCTGACTAAAATAAACAATACGAGAAGAATAAAGAAACTAGTAAAAAATGTGAATAACAAAAACAGAAAATTAATTTTTACCGTATTGAGTAATCGAAGTTCAAATGGAAAAACGACACGATACGATAGTTTTTTATATTGTTTAAACACTTCAAAATATTTAAAACGTTTCAAGTGAAGTGCTAATATACGTGGCAGTTTTTTTATGCGCATTCTATAAATAAAAATAATAACAAGACTTAGAAGATGTTTTTTTTTGCTCTAGATGCTTTTTAATATAACCTTTTTGTTGCTTCTTGTTTACTGGAACAGATTTCACAATAATATTTGGATTCGCCCGATAGCGTTTCAATATTACTAAATACACGAAGGCATGTTGTTATTGAAGTATTTTCTTCAACATCAATCGATAGATCAAGAAAATTTTCATCTTTACTGCTGACCTGGAAAAAAAAGAAGAAGAATATTGTATTATTTCAAAAATAAAGTCTAAAACAAGCTGCAAAAATTATTAATAAAGAATAATAGTTGACAGCATCTATCGCATTGCCATAAACCATAATTAAAAAAGGTACTTCAAACTAAGCTTCATTATTAAAAATACGCAGAAATTTTTTTTTTATTCTTTGAACCAAGGAAACTACTAGATACTCTTCAGATGAACTTGAATGAATATAAACAATAAGCTGTCAAGACAAAACTATCACTAGAAGTTTCACTTAATTTTGAACGATAGGTCTCTCATGAAATTACTCCAAAATTCTTCAATCTATCAGTGTTTCCTTTTTTTGTAAAATTCATTAATGCTCTGAAATATTTTGTTTTTGTCTGCTCAATCTAGTATAAAAAATTAGGAATCAAACAATAAATATCGAAAGATTATGAGAAGATAGCATATTTTTGTGCACTCAAAAAGTGAGTACACTAGAATCGATCAGCGTGTCCGGCCGTCCGTAGGCACGATAACTTTCGAAAGGAGAGCCAGATCGTGATGAAACTTTTCACACAGTTCAATCTCATGAATATCTTGGTCGAGTTCGAAGATGAAAATGATTCCTCAAGAAATGGTTGAGCTATCGAAAAAATTGTCATTTTTGACCAGACCATCCCTGAGGAGGGATAGAGGGATTTTTTTCAAAAAGCAAATATTTTTCAGAATTATTCACAACATATATAAATCGAATCAGTTTTTAACGCTGATTCCGAATCTGATATTAGTTTTGAACTACATCGTAGCTTTCTAACGAAACATCGCCTGAAAAACGTCTCAAAATGCACAAAAACTGCATCCAGAAATCAAATTGCCTAGTTTCTCATGATATTTTTGGTGTTAAGACATTCT